TGCTGTTGTATGCTTAATAAAGTGCTGTAGCTAGGCAACACTAAGCTTGTTTATAGTCTAGCTATTATTGCTAAGACTAATAGCCTAGTCACCTAGTATATTATCGCCTTTGTACTAGGCAGAGAGATAGTATTAGCTAGCAAAGATAATAAAGGGCAGGATCGCCTATCTAGCAGCGTTAATTCTGTAGATGGCTGTCACCTACTTATAATTGCCTAGTTAGATCGCTTTTAGCTGTCCCTGTCTCTCTAAGCTAGTAACAACTAGCTGCAATAATATTTTACCTATAAGAAAGCTAGTTTTATTAAAGTTAAAGGTATCCTTATTACAGATACTATAGGTGGCCTTTGTACATGCTACTAGCTTAAACTAAGCCTGTATAGCTGTTAGATCTTTACAGAGGGCTTACTGTTAATTATAGGGTTAATTAAACTATGTTATAAGACTATTTATCTGCTTAACAAAGTTTCTAGGCCACTAGTAGCTAACATAGCCTACGCTGCGCTTAGTAAGCAGCTTATTTACTATATCTTGTACTGCACCTAGATTAGGCGTAAATCCTTGCAAATCTAGTTTAAGTATATGCTTAATAATTACATCTTTTTTAAGCTTTGTAAGCTTCTTTAATTTAGGCTTAGAGTCGCGTTGTGCAGTAATTCCTGCGCGTTAGGCGCGCAGGGTTGTTTTAGGGACGCTAAAAGTTGCTGCAGCGTGTTTTATGCTTTGTATTTAACAGAAATTAATAGCTAATAGAGCTAAGTAGATATCTGCTTCTTTATAGCGCAATTAAGCAGATAATGGTTAAGCCATGGTAGTTTGTATGAGAAGCGTTGTGGAACGTTGGTGGGGCGCGCGGCTCACTTGTATGCGCGGCTCGCTTGTAAACACGTTATCTAAGGCTGTGTCTTAAAGGTAAGAATGACTACAACCCCCTAAACTATAGAGGAAGGGGAAGATTATATATCTGCCAGCAATTGTCGTGATTGTTGGGTTCCAGCTGTGATCGCCAAGCGATCACAGTGACTGTTTGCCAAGCCTAGCGATCGCACTATACCTGCCTGTGTCATCACGTGACCCCCGTGTGCCGTGTCCCTACCGGCATCGGTCCATCCCTCCCCCGTGGGGTTGGAGTCTCGGCATGTCCCTCTGGCCCAACCAGTGGTCGTAACAGTTTAGTCCTTAAAGACTTAGATGTTAAGACTTAGAAAAATCACTGCCCTCTAAAGCAGAGATTCGTTACTGCTTATATACATACTACTTCTTTGTTCTGTGCCTTGCTGCATTCGTCTATGCCTCACATTGTTCTTTGTTCATTCTGGTCCGATATGGCCGCAAGCGGCCAAGGCCAAGCCTGATCGTGACAATAAGGTTCTAGCGCAGTGAAGCATCTTATTGCGTCCTAAAACTCATTTTATCCGCCGTTAACACCATCCTAGTGAAATAGATGTAAAGATGGGATAGTAGGTAGCACAGATAGCACTGAGAGCAAAGTCTTGGAGAGATAGGAGTGTATTGTAGGAGAGACAAATCGCTGCTAAGCTTCGCTTGTTAGGATTCGTGCTTATATACGAAGCACAGGTCATGTGACCTCTAAACAGGGTAGGTGAGGCCATACAGGACCGTTCTGGGTCATCCGGTCTTACAATAGGCAGAATAGCGGCTGGAATATTGGTAGAATATGCTGCAGGTGACGGAAAAGAGGAACCAATAGTTCGGCTTAGAAATTAAGAATGACTGTCGAGTAGTTACAAAGAGGGGCTGTTGACTCAGATTCGGTGGACGGCGATGCTAGTTGTGGAACAAAACCACGTACTGTTATTTACTCTGGCCGTCCGCTTGCTCGAGTTTTTCTGTTCGCATCTCGAATTTTAGAATTGCTTCCTCAACGGATAGACCTGCGCTACAATCTGCTGAAGCTAAATATTATTTTGCCTTACCACTGGAGAAAAAAGATTCTTTGGGCAATTTTGGCAGCTAGGTCGAGTTAAAAGATAGACTAGTAATTTTCTACAGTCCATCTAGGATTTATGTCAATCAAGTGAGGACCCACTGTTTTGTACACCGATGTAGAAGCTCCTCAGACCTTCTGATCGCTTTGACCGATGTAGATGATCGCATATTATCGTTGCCCCCGCTCGAAAAGCATTAGCCATGACTATTGAGCCATGCCTGTTTCTATTCAAGGATTAGCTCTGTTTGCCGCCCCTGTACTTGCTGGCGCAGAGGTTGTAAAGGAAGGTTAATGGAGTTGGTGCGCTAAACGAGCATCGCGATCCTGACGAAGAGGTCAGGCAGCTTCCAAACTCGGGTGTGTTACCAGAAATTGCCCAAGCGAACGTTTCCTCCCTCTCGAATATCTTGAAACCCTCGGATAGGTCAGTTAAGCGGGGATGTAGGCCTAAAATTAAAAGGCAAGTATCACCTCTGCCTTGATGGTGGATCATGTGTCGCGGTAGACTCACTGCGCAGGTCCCAAGCGTGGAGCTGGCTGATGTGAGTAGATCGCATATCTGATACACCCATCCTTACTCTTGTAGGAAATGATTGCAGAGATGTTGAAGAGTTAAGTTTCCCAAGACCGGGACCGTCTCGAGCGATTCTAAAGGGCTTGGATTGACCGATGGATACGGTACATGGCGTGCATAGCCAAGACCATCTGATGAGGGGCTGCACAGTGCGCTAGTCGAGCGCCAAGGTTCCAAGTCACCGTCTCAAGTTACTTTGTAGAAGTGACGCGTTAAATGCATAGTATATATATTATATTATTTTACTTACGTTCATCAATCCAGAAGCATACAAACAAGGCACTTTGGCGGAGTGGTTATCGCGCAGGCCTGCTAAGCCTGTTCCTTCGTAAGATCATCCGTTGTGAGTGTTGTCGCACAATACTAATTAGTGTAGGGGAGCCAGGGTTCGAATCCCTGAGGTGTCGCATCCAAATTTTTTTGGGCACTTTTTCTATTGACTAGTTTATAAACATTCTCCTCTCTATTTTTGCTTACTTATTGAGTTATACAATGCTCTAACTTCTCTACAATCCTCAAGCTCTCTACTTCTTTACAATTACTGTTCTTCACTTACATTATTGAATAAATATGATGCAAACTTTTAATTCTCGTGATATTGCAACGCTATCAAGCCATCTTGGAAAAGTAACGAGTCTGTGGTCTCAGAATCACCTGGTTTTGTGGCCTAAGCACTCACCCATGGTATTGCTGGAATCGATATAAACTTAGTTCTTTATCAACAATGCCCTATATAGATCCGATAGATTGTTTAAATATACTCCAAAGATCGCTCTATCATGCCCTATATTTATCGTTTCCATCGCGAGGCCTACAGAGGTGTGCGACGTGCATGTACCTTCTTTGGCGATCTCTGTAAATCCTAGGTCTCCTATGAGGCAGTTATGGCATTAAATCGTACGTCTTCGAGCAGAGCCTTGGGGCGTTTTTGTATGTCTTTAGTCGGATGCAAATCTAGAGATTTTGCTAGCAAATCAAGAACTTAACATTTGCTTCTTCGAGCTCTGCTTTCATCAATCGACGGCCTTTATGTGAAGTGTTGCCCTATCCTCAGGTATATACGCCTGCTTCTTGTTGTGGGATTCAGAGATCGTTTATTAATAAGGAATTAACTCCTTCTCATACACCTCGGATGCGTACCAGACGAAGTCGAAGGCACCGTTTGGAACATGTCGCTCAAAAGTGTGAGCTTGTTCGTCTACTCCTTAAACTTCTAGGTAAGTTATATGCGCAGGATTTTCGATTCTGGCTCCCAGATTCGACGAGGGCGATCAATCCGAGTCTCCTAGGCGCAGACAGTTCCCCACTGCATGAGCGAGAATGGCGCAGGTTTAACTGACTGCGCAGAGCTCATAGGTATCCTCCCCTTCAGTTATGGATATGCGCTACGCCGGAGAGCCTCTAAAAGTTGCACAGCACTCGTCTACGCTATCCATAATGAGACTACGAGACATCTCAACCTCATCTAGTAGCCTAAGCCCATTTTTGTATGCCAATCGGCGTTGCTTCCGCGCGTCGCTGAGAGCGACTTTTTAGAGGGCATTTATTCGGTTTAATGCGTTTTTGGGTTCTGAATCCGGATTACAGTGTTCTCTATCCATAAGTGCTCGGCAAAAAGTTGATTTGTGCAGTCTCTGAGCCTTAGATCAAGCATGATTGGCAGCCTCTGAACGGTCAAAGACTTGACGCCCATAACTCTGGTGCCTTAACTGAGTCCTGGGAACCTTAGGGTCTCCGGAGCTACCTCCGGGGCACGTGAGGACCCCAAGTCAATAGCCCCGGGGAAATTAGCGTCCTGGGACAATGCGCTTCCTCGGAAAATCTTTCTAGAAAAACCAATCTTCTAGGAAATGTACTATTGAGCTTTTTAAATATCTATTAGCTCATATTAAAACAAAAAGGTTGGCCTTTTAGGGCCTATTTTAGGGCTCTTGGTACTATGGCTAAGAAGTTTGGCTGCCATCTCGAATGCCCTTTTGTGCACCTCCTCCATATCGGGGATTTCCTCCTCAAGCTCCGCATCTCTAGCTTCCAAGTCATATATCCCCTTCTAGATCTCCTAAAATTCCTACCTCCAGCAACAAAGACGACGGACTTTTTCGGAGATCAATTGTTATTTGTAGAAATCATTCTCTTGACCCAAGTTATCGTTTTTAAGAGCTAAGGCACTGTGTGCCTTGACAGTTTCTTTAAGCTTATATTGCTCCGGAAGGTACGCTTGCTGATGTCTTATTTTGTTGTGCTTAGTTAATTCGTCAATGACTTTTGTGTAAGATGGGAGATATCGGCGAGGTGCTTTTTAACAGGGCTAAGTACTAAGTAGTTTTACGGTGGGAAGCTAGGCTCCATATTAGTATTTTGAAACACTTACACAGCTAGGAATACTAACTTTAACTATAGTTTTAGCGCTTTGGTTCTGTTTCTGTTATTCTCGAAGTTGGATTTTGCTAAATTGGACTCGATGGTCAATTCTCTAGCTTAAGAAAAGCATCAAAAGGTCCGAATTCTGTTCTGACTAGGTCCATTAGTCTGAAGAGCCAAGTTTCCTAATGGGACTAGTAATTACAAGGATGCACCCCTTTTTTATTATTATAAATTCTAAGGTGGCCCTTGCTGAGAGAGAGTCTCATTTCTAGACCACTAAGGTCCCTGTTGTCGCTTTGCCCACCTCGGTGCTCTTCTCTTAAAGGCATCGCTCAAGAAGATATAGTTCATTCAAGAATGGCTGCGTATAACAAATAGAATCTGGCTATGGCTTGGTCTCCCTGTGGAGGGTTTATAATCAAGCCAGCTCGCTCTTGCTTGCATGACTGGGACATCTGACTCTGTCTTCTTCCTCTTCCTGGATCGCATTCCCCCATTTATATGGACTCCCTTGTTACTACGCTCAGTGCTTCACTATCACGATGGCAGTGACACTGACTGTGCGTGAGCAAGAGTTTCTTGCACGCAGCTGAGCAGCTGCGTTTGTGCCACAAAAAGGAAGCTGAATTTCTTTTGGAAGGCTAGAAATATCCAATTTGAAAGGTCTAGGGCACCATCCCCTGATTTGATGATTGTCAAGTACTCCAAAGAGATCTCTACCGGCAATTAATCAGCCCAAAATCAACGATTTGAAACTTCCTTCGTAAAGAGAGACTTAGTTACATGAAAATAAAACAATAGGTTAACTTTGATCGAGTGGATAATACGAAAAGCGGCTTTTAGAGTCCATGGTTCAGCTAACAAACTGGCCAGTCACATGCCAGCATTGATTTGTCTCATAATGAACAGCGTCTGCGTTCATAGGCTTGGGCTCTTCGCTCTGACTCGCCAGTTCGAGTAGGAGGGTAAGCGGTAGATTGGTTGCCGCTGTAGCAGGAAGTGGCTTCAACAATGGGTAGCCTTTGAATGATGCAATTTGTCGTTGAAGCCGGCGTTGATGGCCCAACTTGAACCCAAGATGTCCCAACTGTTCCTCGGTGACGTGAAGTGTTTGATCCCCTATGAGGGTATGGTGGTATTTTGTGAGATCAATGTCGGAAAGCATCTGGGCGAGACTCCAAACGCTCGTAGCTGGCTGCGTATTATGCTGGTCCATTGGATAGAAAGTAGCTGATGTCTAGCCATATCAGTCGCCACTGGAATATATACTCATTTGATCGTGACTAGCGTCACAAGCTTTGACGTTAAGGCGACAGGGTTGGCCGCACATGCCTGGTGTTTTCGAGCATGGTGATTTGCGAAAAACCGTACATATCGGAGAATATTCCGCACATGCTGGTCAGTTAACCTGACGTCACACACACGAGCACCCGCGTGGCGTAGCTACCTGCCACCACCTTCTCAGAAGCGAGTCACTATTGTTTTCTTGGATCACATCTCAACTCCGGATATCAATCTAACGTTAAGTTAATTTATTGTATCTTAAAGCAGCACTCTTTGCCGAATCTGAGATTGCGCACTACACAAACAATGGCCGGTCTACCTGAATAAATTATGAAAGCAAAGAATAAAGTGGAAAATTTGTTATCGTTACAACCATGGAGAAACTGCTAAACCCGTGCTGGATTACGCTTTGATCTTGGCAGCCTTGTACTCCTTCTAATCTTTGAAGAATTCGGCCTTCTCTTTAGCATCAAGCTCGTCGTAAAACTCCACGCCCTTGGTGGCAAGATGCATTTCTTTGGAATCGTCCATAAGCTTCTAGACCAGATCGCTAACCTTGGCCGTTGTTCTAGGAGTCATCCCCCTAGTGCCGCGCTTGCGTTCTGCCTCCAACGACTTCTCGCGTTCTTCACGAACCGCGCCGTCTGCCAATCCGACAGAAGGAGATCTGCTTAATGCCCTGCACTTACTAGTCTTTGCATCGCTGTATCTCTCTTCTTGTTCCTTAGCAGCGGTAAAGATGATATTGTTTGCAAGTTTTGCTCTGTATTAAACCTAAAGCTCAGTCCTTAGCTCCTATGTCTTAACAAATTCCCTGTCAATGAGCCAACCGACGTAAACGTAGGTGCGAGGATACTTGGTCTTATCTGGTTTGATAGCTGGGTCGATCAGATCCAGGTCCTCTAAGCGATCATACTCATCATCAGCGGTGGTAGCAATCTTCCCTTGCCATGCAACTGCAAGAATGTGATTAATGTGTCTTCTTGTGTATTTACGCTCTGTGCTGTTTTCATGAACTTTCAGATATCCGCGCTGATTCAGAAGGCTGTTAATATTCTCCTTGTCTAGCTTTTTGTAGCCATCAACGCAGTCTTTCTTAACTTGTTACGTTGCATGACTTTTCTTTCCGTACCTATTGATATATAGTTTCCCCCAGAGACTGGTCCATCCTACAGTGTTGTTGTCCTCGGTTGTTTTCGGCACAGGTGTTGAGACCAGCGGTGGTCCATATTCCTCGCTATCTGGGTCGTTATATTTTGTTGTGGATTTGGCTGTGCCAGAGCCAGACTTTGTGGAGTCACTGGAGCCTGTAGACGAAGGGAACAAGTTTCCACCTTGCTCACCTCCTAGTGCTCAGACTTCCGTGCTTGGAACTGGCTCATCTGGATTCTTCTGGCCGCCGGCCGGAGGGGCTCTTGTTGGCCCTTCGATGGGGGAGGATCCTGACCGCTAGCTGGAGGAGGGTTCTATTGACCCCTAGTTCCTTCCATGTTGCTATCCATGTTCACTAATATTGCTTAGATGTGAGAAGCAGAGATTTGATGCGAGACAGATTCAAATAGTCCTAGCGAGTGGTTTTATAAGGAGCTTGAGGGGGCCCAAAACTGAACTCAAAATCATGAGAAACATATCGAGACTGAAACTGGTCGCCATCAGAGCAAGTTGTCGCCTTTCGACGGGGTCCAGTTTCGGGCCTCACTCTACGTGCGATATTAAGGATGGGGGACCAGAACTGGGCTTGTGTATGCACTCATCCATATGAGGTGAAAGTGAAAGTGACCAAAATCGGGCACGACTCTCAGTCGATGAATCATTGGTAAATCTCAACGGGTATCACCGCCGCCTCACGCAGACTAATTAATGTGCATGCCCAGGTGATCAATCACGGGGAGAGAAAAGGTGAAGCTACGGGGTGAGAGGCGAAGGAGATGATGGTATGCCTGAAGACAGTTTTCGCAGTTTTAAATGTCAATATGCAGAATATTTCAACTTCAGTTAAGGTATTGGCATCTTGATATTCATTAAGAAATTGTGGCAGAAATTTTCATTGACTAAGCTGAGTTACTCTAAGGAATTAATCGATATCAAAGCGAACGCCACAGGTAGCTTGCTTGCTTGCCCGTCTGAAGCAGGGGCACATGGCAAAGAATGGCGACTCATCGCCGTCAAGCTGTTTGGCCAGGCATCCTTTGTGAAGTGAGTGTTTCCCACAGCCTTTTGGAACCATATCCTGAAACTCCTCAAACTCTCTCTTGCAAATGTTGCACCTACGCTCATCGTGCGGTAACGTTTGCAAGACTTTGCTCAAGACAACATTAGGAAACAGGGATTTTGGATCGTACCGGCTTCTATCCATGTATGCATTCGCCAGAATGTCGACAATCTGAGAAGAAAGAGTTTTGGGAAGCATACCTAACAACTGGCGGCGATGATCCTCCTTTGCGTCGTTCAAAGCAAACGCAAAAGCAAGAGGTGGTCCCAGTTTCGGGCCCCCTGAATGCCAAGACCGCCAACTGTTTGTGTCAAGCCTGGCTTCGCCACCATAGCGTGGACACGAGATAGTTATTCCAAGTGGTCCGAAACTGGACCCCGCAGTAGTGAAGTTGCAATCAATCACCTGATGATCTTATTGTTACTTCAGTGTTTAGAAATTGCATCAGTTCATCGCCAAACCAGTATCTGGAGCCCAGAGGTTTGCAATGAACATGGACTTGCACGTTACATTCTAGGATCGAACTATTTGGTTACCTACTACAAAGACTGACAAATCGAACAATCAAGCTAACTATCGCGGTTCATTGCCTTCCCATTTCTCATCGCCATGATTTTTCCGTGGCTTTTAATGCTACGCTTTCTGATGTCACCGGTTGGTATTCTAGTTCTAGTAGGCGGACTTTATCTTTCAAATGACCACGGACTATTTCCCGTAGATTGTCTCTCATTTCATCCATTGCTGAAGCTATACAGTATTAGTAGTTTGTCAATTAAGTATGGTTAAACATCTTACCTATGACTAGCATTAATCCTTGTTCCTTACCTTGCATCCTATTAATGTACTTCCCTGACATTTTATCTTGCAGGATCGCGCGAAGATCTGCAGACCCAATATACCACACCGCACGGCGTCCCCAGGAGGCACTGTCTAGTTTCCCAATTTTGATATATATTGAGATGCCGAGGATCTAGCTCTTATTAGTACCTATGTTATTAATATAATCTGTGTTGCTTACATTGCTGTTATCTAACAGATTGTCTATTAAAGCGTTGTTTAAGTAGGATTGTGCTGCAATTTAAATGTCTACTAATGTAAGTTAGGTTTTTGCAATAGATAAGTTTAAAGGCTTACTAACTATTTCTAATGCCACACTAGATAGACTTGTTAAGTTCTAGTTGTGCAAGTGTTGTACTGTATATTAGTTTCTTAAGGTAAGGGAGCTGTCTAGCTATACTAAAACTACTAGCTACTATGACAACTGTCTTATATTAATTAACAGATGCACTAGTCCTATATGGGCCGGTGAACAGAGCTAGACGTGGTTGAAGTCTGCCCCTAGCTTTTTGAGCCGCTTTGCTACTAAGAAAAAGTCTTTGCGTAAAGCCTCCACAGGATTCTATAAGGAGGTCTAAAGAGTCCTGCTTTCCTTCTGCCCACAAAGTTACAGTAAACGGATGACTTTGCAGAAAAGACTAATAGCTCATTGTCAGCATCCACAGACAGATATATTGCCCTAGCTTAACTCTTAAATGTTAAGAGAGTTTTAAGCAAATCTTAACTCTATTATTAACGTAAGAGATATAAGCTTAGGAATATGCTAAGCGTACTAGCCAATTTCTGTAGATTATTGCTCCAAATTAGAGAAGTGACAGGATGAGAAATGTCTATATTAAAATATAGACATATAAATGAGGGGGATGAAATTACTCAGGCCACAGTTTCAGCCGTAAGTGCTGCTAAATTAAATAAATAAGAAGGACAGCTAGTAACTAGTAGATACAGAGGTAGACTTTGTAGAATAATCTGCGGAGAAAAGGTGTAGAAAGGAGAAAGAGGAGACCGGTAGATGAAGCTCCCTGCCATAGGTTAGGTTATAGTAAGCAACGGGAGACGAAATGCTTACAATGAGCCCCCATAGATTCTCTATTTGGTCCAAGGGGAAGGGTGTTCTGCTAGCTAAGATGGTAACCACGTGAAAAGCTAGCAGGCAACATGGCTTCAAGTACTCGATGGAATCTACAATATGTTTTTAGTGTGAGCCCAAGTACATCCACTAGAAAGCTCAAGTGAAGACTGGCAAAGGCTGGTATCAAGTTAATCAAGGCCAGATCCGCAGCTCGCAAGCTGGCTGCGCGTAGAGACGAAGCATTGAAGCCAACGTAAAACATGTTTACGGCAATATATCAGAGCTGTGCTGACACCCCAGCTTGACTCCAAGGACCGAGGTATCGGTGCTGACGAACTAGCTGCGGGTAGGTGAGAAATTGAGAAGTTCTGAGGTCTACGGTTTTCAAGAGCGACTTCATCAAGTGACGGGTTCTGAAGAGCAGAAGGCAGAAAAGGCCACAGTCTGCTCTTATATAAATCAGACTCGCTCCGTTTTCACAGATTTGATCATGTTGCGACTAGTAATATACATAAACTCTGTTCACTTGCCCTTATTCTTAGAAAATCAAGCAGTGCACTCCTCCTTGTATGCCTTTAACTGCTCCATCTTCATCTTTGTCAAATCTTCTATCTCTGCATGCACAGCCTCACTAAACAACTGAACGCTACTGCTACCGTCATGTAGTGCGGCCCAATAGACACCGTCCACCTCAAAACTCTTTCTAGCTGCGTAATTGAACCAGAAACGCCCGCTTCTCCACGAACCACGCATCCGCGTAGAAAGAAGTGTCCCACTGGGTTGCTTCTTCAACGATGCCTCCTTCCCCACCCTCTCTAGCGCTCGTAGGAACTGCTCCATCCTGGGCTTATAGTCTGTCACGAACTCTTCCATAGAGCAGCGATCCAGCCACCATTCTGGCCCAGACAACAATAGCCACCATGGCGGGTCATACGTGAACTGCGCCGGCATGGTATTAGTGAACTCAAAATATAGCACGGCGGTAATGCGGAGAGTGTCCGGATCGATGAGCATGTTCGAAGGTCGCATGTCGTTGCAGAAAGGTATAAATGGACCAGCGTCGTCGACACAGTACTTTGGGATAAGCTGTGCGAACTGATAACGGGCAACGAACCGCTTCTGAACGATTCCTGCGTCATCTGCGAGGTTGCGCTGAGTCCGAAGGTGGTTTAGGTGCTCGTTCGCGACCGACCTGAAGTAATCGCTCGCACGGTCAAACGGCGCGGTAGGAAATTTATTGGCAGGGTAGCCTGCGACAGTCATCAATTCATTCATGTTGTATGTGAGCGGTCTTCTGATGACAGACCATATGTTTGAACCGTGCCGCTTTGAAATTGCACCGATGTGGGTGAACGTCGTGAGCTGAGACAACTGAAGCATGCCATCGGCTATTTGATAATAGATCTTGTCTAATGCCGTGTTGTCAAAGTCTTGGTTTAGAAGTATGACCTCTTCTCCATTTTCAGACTGTCGCTTTAGTAAAGTAGACAGAAGCATTCCGTCAACGGAATCCATGATAATGAATGGGCCTAATTGTTTTAGGCTCTCTGCTGTTAAACCCCAGCTATGCACCCGAGGGAGAGGAATGGTGGTGTTTTGGGCAAGGTATTCCATGACCTGGACCTCATTTGTGACCTTTTCGTCCCTAAGAGCTGTAGCCATGTGTCCCGGTTTTGGGGATCGAATAATGGCATCTGGGCCCCCGTCGGTAAAGCTGAAGCTGAAGCTGAAGCTGAAATTAAAGGAACCTTTAAGGAAACTAACATAATTTCCGGTTCCATTCCCTTCCCGGTGATCAGCAACAAAAGTTGCTAATTCTGTCTTCAGGTCGAGTACCCTCTCCAACCAAGCTCTACATTCATCATCACCGTTGGTCACAGCTATATTGTCGAAATATGTCTTGAGCGAAGATGTCTTCTGGGGAGGCATATTGGGGATTGCGTAGGATGGCTGACTATCAAAAAGAAGGTGTTTATCGAGGAGAAGGTGCTCTCGTGTAAGGCGCAAAGTAGGCGGGATGTGGTCGGGGAGGTTCCGTCGTCGTTCCGCAGTGTTGTGTGGAGCGCAGTTGTGCAGGAGTAGCCGGCGCTCACCCAGCGAGAGAAATCGCGTTTACGAGAGAAAAGCGGGCAATTTGAAGGTGGTGAGAGATGTCAACGTCATGGCTGTTGGTGTGTAAATACATCCGAGATTCGCGCCCGCTGGGGATCGTCGGCAGGCGAGGTTGAATGCTATCGCACGTAAATGGATAGGGCAACCAAGGGCATCTTGATTAGATATCAACTTAACAAGGGCTTTCTCTTCGCATGGGTAGAGATACTGTTAGTTCCGGTCCTTCGCTTGGATCGACTTGCGATTGTGATTACGATGCTTCACAGGAACACCCAATGCGAGTGCCTGGCTGGCTTTGTCCATAACTTGTTGTAGTGATTGGGCAATGTAAAGGCAAGGCAGGTCCCAGGGCCAGGGCCAGGGCCAGGCAACACAGCACGCAGCCAAAGAGCCTGTAGCAAAAATAGAAACGGCACGTGGTCATGGACACTTCTAGAATCAAGCAGCACACCTGATCTTGTTAAGGATATAAAACCAATTCAATACCGGCAAGTGCCTCGCGCTAAATGTACCAAGGATTACGCTTTGTCGCAGGGCTGGCTTTTAGTCTACGCGGGCATGCCGGAGAAGCTTTTGGAATCTACATTGCTAGGCCGGAGCAGCTGGCGCTTAATAAAGTTTTTAGCCTAGTTCTTGCAAATAGTAGAAAGTAGAGCTTAGCTATAGTTTACAAGGACAATATTAGCCAGTTCTTATATAATAAGAATTTAAAAAAGAAACTCTTGCATGTTAGAGTTAAAAATATTGTTACTGGTTAAGTATTATGTCTTAAAGGGTGCTGCAGTGGCGCGTGGCTAGGGTAGAATAAGAATCGTTGTACAAGCAAGCTGCAGCACAGAAACTCTTAAATTAACCTAAATTATAAGCTTTAATAGCTAAAGAAAGCCTGCCTTTAAGTCTAAGCTAATTATAATTTAGCATTGTTGTGTTGTTAGGATTAAAAGGTGACGCTACGCGACGCGCGATAGGGCTGTCCAGCTCGCTTGTGTGTCCAGCTCGCTTGTCAAATGCGTTAAGAAAAAGTGGCCGGCTTAGTAATCTAGCTGGCCTAGCTAGTGATCTACGTTAACGTAATTTTTGTACATACTAAAGTCTGTGTCGCGAAAACGGCGTGTGGTATATAACACGAACTGTGACCACCTTTGACACCTAGGTCGTGCATTGGAGCTTCAAACTCTGCAAAATCATTGTCGCCGATGGGTAATTTTTCCGAAATACCTTCCAGGAATCTTCGATTACCTGGTACTGTAGAGACGTATGTGCTAGTTTCTTGGACGATTAAGCTCAATGGGTACCTAGAGTACTTCATAATGGATTCCGGGTATTGATGTGATCAGTATGTCTTTCTGGCTACCATTGTTTCATACCTATTCTCGGGGTAGCCGTCTTGCACGCGGTCCGGGCAGCGGGTGAAACGTTAGGGGAGGCGAGAAGAAAAGAGAACGCCGAGATCGAGCTGAAAGTCGAGTTAAAATTGTCTTCGCTACTTTTATGTGGCTGGAAAAAGTGTGCTGTGCCTGTCTGCGAATCAATGCTTGTGTAGTGTACGTAATGCATCCGCCCGCGAAGCTAAAAGATGGCTATGGAATCGCAAGACTTCGTCAGAGCTCCACGGAGGCTAGATGCTCTTTGAAGACGAATGTTACTGAGTATGAGAAGAAAAGTGTCTGTCATGTAGAACAGTGGTACTAAAAATCTAGTCGCGCCGCGCTGGCGGAAGCTGCGGAAAATCAAGGCTATAGTAAACGGCGCGGAGCGCATCCGCTTCCACTTTGTGGGGTGTTTGGGTTGTGTCTATTACCTCCTGGATTCGACCAAGCAGACATCTCAATTTAATGGGATGTCTCAAAACCATCATATAAAATCTTTATCTCCTCTATTTGTATTTAGCGAAGTTTCACCCCTGCGAACGCCGTAAAAGCAAAATCCCCAGTTAACTTAACATCATAGTCGTTCCACAGTATTGGACGCTAGAATCTGTCCATCTTCCCATCATATCTGCTATCTCCGTAGGAGGTAACCGTGGTGCCTCCATTGTGTCCCGACACATGCATCGACTCAACCACAAAGTTAGTTCGCTTCAGCTTCCCATGGTTGATTGACTGGTATTTGTCAATGGGCCAAGCCTTTTCGGAGCCTTTTCCCGCCGTGCTTTGTGACCTCGAAATACCAGAGAATGCGGAAGATATTCGGGACAAGGATTCGGAAACGAAGGTCCGGGCCTCCTCGGGAAGATGGTGTTTGAGGAACGCGGGGAAGAGCATTAGACAGGAGCACATGATACCAACATCGACTTCAATAGCCCTGAAAAGCGTTAGCCGAAGAGAGGAGGAATCAGGAGCGGGAGGTGAGACATACGACCATTTGCCAATGCTCGCCGTGTTCCATGATGCGTCTAAGCTGCTTTGAAGCACCCGCGTCATTCCGAGTCGTACTAGACTGGCAATGCAAGCTCTAGAATTGGAGTTTGAGCGGACGAAAGAGAAACATTGTTTCTTGTATCTGAACTTACAGTAGACCAAAGCTGAAGGCTACCATGACTTTGAGCTTACTTTTCAGGCTCATATTCAGACGCCACAGAGGTGCGATCGGGAGGACTAATATGTAGATATCCGTAAGAGAGCTTGAAGAAGCCGACAGCCAGGGGAGGATGTGTGGGTTGAAGCATGTCCCGGGTACGATCGCATTCCATGATCGCTGCACCGGTGTGCAGCTAAACATTGTGGCGAAGAACAAACCGGCCGTTAAGCACACCACGAAAGATATGCCGAGATTGATGAACGTTTTCACTCCAGACTCCATCGAGAATATTCGTCGATAACAGAATAGAAATGTAAGCTTGATGCATCCTGTGAGAAGCAAATAAGCCCATGCCGCGAGCACAAGATACTGCAGACTCGTTAACAGTTTCTCGCAGTTGTAGGCCATGAATCTGTACTTTGAAGGCATCCACGACTTGTACAGCGGGCACGTCCCACATGTGCCGTCCAATACCTTTAGATTCCGCTGTGCGCCACGTCAGTCTCTGCCGTTCTATAGAAAAGCGCGGATAAGGAAACATACCCTGTATCATCAACATCGAGTACGTCCAGTCCAATGCCTAGGCTGTCAGACGGGATCTTTGTTAACGTCGGTGTACCTACGTAGGAGAGGACGCAGAAGTCTGGGAGTGCATGTTTAGCGATCAATTCCATCGCGTTCTTCATCCTGCGAGCTTACAATCATCCGCGCCCAGTTTTGCTCTCAAAATGTACAAGCGGGTGTAGATGCGCATGGCTAAAAACAGCGAGATCAGTGTAAGACAAGTCGCATGCTGTATGAGATTGTCTCTTTGTTGGCTCGGGGGATCAATGAAATTAGGCCCGACTCCAGGAGGAGGAGGTAACGCGCCACCGAGTTGAGATGCCATGCGTTATGTATCGCTTCCTCCAATGGACTATCCAGGCCAGTGAATGTAAGATTTGTGTGTGGTTCGTGGTGGGCCAAGGAATTGGAAGATTGCAAGACTGGCAATGAAGATGGTAAAAGTAGTAGGAAAATGCTTCGTCCAACCTACAGTGCAATTGCTATCGGGTCCCGAACTGTGATGCAACGTCGAACGGGGTCCAGCGGAGAGGGTAAGCTGTCGGATCAGTGCAGATGTAAAAGTGTCTGATCCTCTGTCGAGACGCGAACTCGCGCGCCACGCTTCTCGGGCATGGAGCGTTCCCCGATGAACTGATCCTGTGCTGACAGCTCAAGATAGATGACTGTTGGTGTAACACCATGCGGGTAAGCAATTCGCTCGTGCTTTCACAGTGATTGGCTGGGTAGATCCTTGTCACTCAGATAAAACAGGTTTATTGATCCGAGGGATTCGAAAGATTTACCTGCAATCTTCTTGGCGGGATGTACACAAAATTACTCGAAGCGCACTGCTCAAACGGTGTAAAGGATTATGAGCAATGCAGGGCCGATTCCGCTCTTTCCTTCTCCCCTGCGGCGGCACCTCGTGCGGATTCGTTTTTAATCTTTGTGAACCGTTTCGTACGTGGGAATGCCATACTTATCGGGGTGAGTAGCGCAAAACTCCTCCCAGGGAGGATGCAGACCGCCTAAGAGAACTCTGTATAAAATAGTTTCCGGAATTTTGCATTTACAGACCCCTAGGCCTAGGCGGTATTTGCCAACGAAATCTCACCGTTGCTGATCATCTTCCTAATATCATCAGCCAGCATCTCTGGTTTTTCGTAAGCGGCAAAGTGGCCCCCTTTGTCGTGTCTTTTTTCAAACACTACAGGTCCCAGAGTCCTGCCCCAGGAACTTGGGAGTACCACAACATCTCTTGGGAAATAGGATAGACCCAACGGAGTGTTGTTCCACTTCATGAAAGATTCCATCTTAGCACTCGGATCTACAGGATTCAATATCTCGTAGTACAGACGGATGCTGGCATCAGCACCTGCTCGACTGAACAGATAGATGCTGATCCAAGTGAGTACTTCTTCGTCATTCCAGGAGTAGTGATCGGTCCAGTCATGGAGTTTTTCATAGATCCATGCCAGGAGAGCAACCGGGCTGTCCGCGAGCGCGAAACCCAATGTATGGGGCTTTGTGCTCTGGATCTGGTTGTAGCCTGATCCCTCAGTGCGGAACCATTGCGAGCGTTCGAGTCCGGCTTTCTCAGACGCAGTATATCTTCCGGTGAGATACTGCAGAACCAAAAGGGGGGTAGAAAGAGGTGATGGTGGTGATGTCAGGATGAAATTGAGGTGCGACGCGAGAACGTGACTAGGATAGAGGATTCCGAGCGCACGTGTGATGAGGAAGCCCCAGTCACCACCCTGTGTCACTTCCCACTCATTGTGTTAGACTTTACGTCTAAAGAAAGAAGATTACAAGACGTTGAAGACGTTGAAGACACGCACCATATTTTTCATAGCCAAGCTGTAGCATCAATTTGTGGCATACTTCCGCATACTGCAACACACCAAACCCGGGGTTGGAAGTCCGCTGTGAGAAACCGCAATTCGGCATGGAAGGGGCAACGACGTGAAATGTTTGCTCGCTGCCATCTACACGAGAAGTGAGGAGAGGCAAAACCTTTGTGACCTCGAGAAAGCTTCCGGCCCCTGATGAGGAGCGTCAGCAATAAAAGCGGGAGTTTTGAGTGGATGAACTCACAGCCATGACAGAATAACAGCGGAATACTGTTTGCATCCGCTCCTTTCTGATGTATAAAATGAATTTCGAGGGAATCCTCGTGGCCGTCAACGGAAATTTTGGTGGTGAATTGAGGAAGCTCATTCAATTTGGCTTCAATCTGGCGCCAATTGAATTTCTGCTGCCAATGCTCCACAATGCGTCTGATATCATTGAGTGGAGTGCCGTACTTCCAGTCATTGGAAAACTTCGTCTGCCCCGGAAGTACCGCGAGCTCGAGTTTCTTTCGCAGTGTCTCGATTGCTGTGTCAGGGACGGAGATTTTGTACTGCTTGATGGCGGACATGATGAAGAAATCCCTTGAAGGGAAGATAGGAAAGCCAAATACCTGCTTAATGGGCAGTCGATTGTTCAAGCTCTTTCCTAAGCTACTTGGTGGGGCACAGTCACCCAGGTCAGCACCTGCAAAGGCGAGGTGGTGCGCACATACCACTTCCGAGGCCCCGGCCACCCGCATGGGGCCAGTAGCTCATTTATTAAATCATGGGTGGTCCACATGGGCATAAACTGAGACGGGAGATTCCACTACCCTGGATACGACTTACCAAGCCTTCGGGGCGCCAGGTTAAATAAGTCCCCATCCAATAACTAAGCAGGAGGAGGAAGGATAAAATGCGTTCGCGAGTTCCTGCGGCGGTCATAGGACACACCCGAACCCCGTTTGTTTCACCTGAATGCTTGGCTTGATCACTTCAGCGTCAATTCTTCTAAAGACAGTACTTGCGCAAGACAGGGTGCACAGCCAAGCTACCGTAGATTTCCATAGTCGCCCACCCGCGACATACTCAACGGCATGGATATTCGTTATATCTCGGGCAAGTGATACTCCAGACCAGATTACCCACATAACTCAGCAGTAGCGCCTCAAGATATGTCCGCAGATCTTTAGACAAGGACATATCTTCCTTGGCATTGTCCACAATGCAACGGTACGTGGAGATCCACCGTCGAATTTCCGCCCGGCAAATCATTTTGGCCTCAGCTTCTGTAACGGACTTTTCTCGCATGATGACCCATATAGCGTTGAAAACGCAGGTCTGCCCTGCTCGTCGAGCGGCATCTCGCTCTTTGTTCCACGAGAACAAGTCATTGGTGAGCCCCAACGCAGCGTATGCCGGTTTGGCTAGTGTATGGCATTTCTCATATTCATTGTCTGGGATAGTGAGAGCCATGCCAAATGTAATGAACCCAAACCATATCCTAAGCGTTCCATCAGCCTTTATCCGTGCTTACAAAAATGTAGCATTAGATCTAGCAACTCGCAAACTTACAGCTCTCCAGCATCTATAACTCGGGCAGGAATATACTCCTCCAAAGTATCGGGAGGAGAAACCCTCACCCTAGCAGCTGAATTCACGAACGTCGCCCAAGAGTTCATCATTACAGCGGCTCGGCGTCCGTCGATGGCCATCATCTTTGACAGTATCTTTGCCTGTAACTTTTTCTCTCGACGAGAGGAGGCACTCGATTGTTGGTTCAAAACATCCGAAAATGCGTCTAGCAGTCCGTAACTCTCGGCGGCAGGGTTGATTGTGTCCATATTTTCCAATTTATCTATGAAATATTAGAATTTCCATAAAATTCGCAATAGGCAGGATACTTGCCGTCATAAAGAAAGGCAAATTCATTGGCATAAGATATGATTTCAAGCCTCTCTGGCAAACATTCCGGAATCGTTGCACTCATAAATTGATACTGACGTCCAAGGCCCCCATTATACCCATCTATCGAAGACACATGCATGTTCCACTCCTTTTGCATATCAAGCGTGCCTTTGACCTCCTTTGCCCAGTCTTTGTGCATTCGGAATACAACGTCAATCTCTAGCCCTTCGGCCTCAGAGAGCTTAAGGTTGCACTCTTTGGAATAGCAATACTCCATGTTGTGAGGCACTTCACTACTGTAAAGGAAGATACGTGAAGTTCTACCTTTAAAAATATATTAATAAAGATTTGCTTCGACCAAAGATAACGTCTGAAGGAGGCGGACTTTTTGCAAACCTTAGGGTAATCCAGGACGCAGAGCAATCACGCCAATCCTAAGTTTGTACAAAGCAAGAGATCAGGCTCCACGCCGCAGCATGTACCTTTCTAGCTTTCTAGAAACTGAAACAAGTGATAAACTTCGCCCGACGCGAGACTCTCGGCTGCAACCATCTGTCCAGGTTCACGGCAATATGCAAGGGCCGTCGACGATCATTGCTGTGCCGCAATATATCCACGGACTCCGTGTAACCAGTGGAAGCGGTGGTGCAATAAATCAACCGGCTTGTCCTCCAGGGATTTGGTAGCTGCCGAGGATTGTACGAAGCCTGTACTGTACGGACCCACTTCATGCGACTACGGGATTGGCCAGAGACTTTCCGAGGGGTGATGGATCCCAGACATTACTTTGAAAGTTACAAGGCACTCTCTCCAGATCTTCGTACGCTTGAGCAAATACAGTACCCGAGTGCAATACCTGACTTGACAGACCGGGTTGGTCCCGTGAAATGTGGGGCCGTAAGCTACCTATCGATGGAAGGTACAGATCTATCACATGATTGTCCCAGAGTCGCTTCTTACTCCTCCCCGCGGCCGCATTTATGGTCTGTTGAATTGATCTGGCAGCTGCTTTGGGTCCTAAAAATGGCACTCATATCTCTTGCAAGCCCGATATTTGCATTGACCGTTGTTTCTCTTGTTTACTTTATCTGGCTCGCGTTCTATCGCCTCTGCTTCTCGCCCTTGGCACGATTTCCTGGGCCCAAACTTGCTGCCGCTACGCGATGGTATGAGTTCTATTTTGACTGGTGGCTTGGGGGGAAATTTGTCTTTGAGGTCGAAAGATTGCACAATGAGTTTGGTATGTTGCACTAAAAAGGTTTTGCAAGCGCCCGATAGAAGCTCATGCGGAAACGCACAAGGCCCCATAGTTCGGATCAACCCTGACGAGCTGTCCATAAACGATCCAGACTTCTACAACGAGATATATGTTACCGAGTATCGACGTCGTACTGAGCATTATGATGTCTTTGCCAAGGGCATCGACTTTGATGGTCAGATACACCCTAGCATCCCTTGGTAACTATTAACACCTTCAGGGTCATTCTTGCTCACCAAAGACCATGATTTACATAGAAAAAGACGAAGGCCATTCGAGCCTTTCTTTTCCAAGAAAGGTATCTCGTCTTTTCAGCTCATTCTGGCTGAGATTGCTTTGAAGTTAGAGTCTCGCCTTTGTGCCCTCGAAGGCACAGGACAGATCATTCGTCTTGACCACGCTTTCTCCTGTTACTCTGGAGACATAATGAGCAGGATATGTTTGGGGAAGGATGATTCCCGACCAAATTTTCTGAGCGACCCAGACTTTTCACCGGGGTGGTATTTCTCCCACTCGCGGCTTTAACGATCATATTCAGATAATATCATCAGGTACAATGTTGTTCACAAGATGGTGGTTCAAACCCCGTTGTTCACAGCGTTCCCATGGCTCATTCGGTAGGGTATCAGCCTTCATAACAGCTCAGTATCTGAATCGCGATAGCATCGTCAGCACTGTGCCTCAGAATTTGCTCCTATGGGCATTTCCCCAAGGTCAGGTGTTCAATACGTTTACTCAAGTAAGAAATTCCATCACAACAATCTGTCTCGGCAACTGAACAACAATTTCAGGAAGCAAGACAACACATCAGGAAGATTCTTTCTGAAGTCTCGGATAAGAGAACAAAAGCCTCCGTGTTCCACACAATTCTCACTAGCGATATGCCCGAATCAGAGAAAACCGAGGATCGTCTTACAAAGGAAGCACAATCAATGCTCGCGGCGGGGACTGTTACCACGGCGCGCACTATTGTCGTGGCGACATATTATATCCTTTCACAACCCAACCTCCGGTCGCGCCTAGCAGCAGAGTTGAGTCAAACAATGTCTTGTTGGCCTCGTCATTCACCAACATGGTCCGAGCTAGAGAAACTACCATTACTGCAAGCCATCATCAAGGAAACGCTAAGGTAAAGTCAATCACGATCGGACGTCTCAAAGAGCTCAGAGGTGTTCTCTTCGCTCACATGGCCGCACAGAATCAGCTACGGAGTTATGCATCGATTACCCCGAATCTCACCTCACGAGCCCATTTTCTATAAAAACTATTTCATCCCAGCAGGCGTATGTCGTTCACCTACAGGCGTTCTTCTTGGGCTACAATGCTGAAAACTGATAGATACCCGTTGGAATGTCTGCATACCTGATGCACAGCAACCCAGACATTTATCCTTCACCGCACAGCTTTGTCCCCGATCGCTGGATTGGCGACATCGATCCAGCCATGAATCGCAGCTGGGTTCCCTTTTGCAGAGGTTCGCGAAATTGCATTGGAATGAAGTAAGGCTCTCAAAGTCTTTCGGCGTGCGCGTTAGCACCATTTGTTGAACTCACTGACGTTTAAATCTCCTACGAGCAGCTTAGCAATGGCGGAGATGAGTCTCATTTTGGCGGTATTATTCCGGCCCAACAGTCCCAAGCTGGAGCTCTTTGAGACCGATGAGAGTGACGTGACGCTCGTGCATGACTTTTTGATACCGCTTCCAAGGCTAGATACGAAGGGTGTTCGAGCGACTGTGGGCTGACTCGCGAGCTTTGCGGGTTCACGATCTAGGGGTTGGTCATGCCGGGTTCTGAGAATTGGGCCAGTGATCCACTACCTACCTTTCCTTAGCCTGTCAAGAACTATTGTGGGTAGTCTCAGCGCTGTTGTCAGAATACGCTTTTTCAAGCCCCCAACCGCCTCTGCGCCGACCATTGATGTCGCATTCCTAATACAGAAACCTTCTTTCCATAAGCCACAACGGCTACTTCACTACTGTGGCACCTACTACATTTACTATGGCACCGACTGCCTTTACTATGGCTCCTACTGCCTTTACTGCAACACATGTAAATAAATACTCTGCAGCAGAGCATGAGACTAGAACACAACACAACACACAATACACTTCACTTATTAGCTCTTCACATAGCCGCATGACTACGCAACCTCTATTTGCAACAATTGATGATAAGTCAATTAGAATTACTCCAGTGCTTAGTCTACACCAAATCTCTAACTCTTGGAATGTACTTCTCGTTAACGGAATATCATAGCAGCATTGCCAAAGACATCAATTCGGTCAAACGACACGATCGAAACCGGTATCTACTATTCTCCCGGGCACATTCCATCTCTGCGGTATGATTCGGAAGAATGGCTTTAAGCCCAAATTCTGGCATCCAATAGACAACACAAGGGGAGAAAGCCTGGTATACGATGCGATAGCTTCCGCCCGTTGAAGACCCAGCATCTCTGGGTATTATACCATGCCCTCGCCTTGAGAACATCGACAGCAGTGACAAAAATAGGGAAAGTTCAAATAGATTACAACCCTTAGCCTTAAGTCTCGATGCCCCAAGTCCACGCCTCCTCAGGTACTTTCAACGGAACATGAAAAAACCTATGTCCATGCTCACTCGCACTCGGAAGTTGTCCCGCACGTATATTGAACTGTAGTGCTTGATGAAGAAGTCTTGGCTCACCCAGTGTTGCATCCCGCTGTGTCCTCCACTGAACGAATTCGTCCAAAGTCACTCCATCATGAACGTGCTTGTTCTTCTCCCGCTGTTCCGCCACAGTCGCAAAAGCGCGAGGTTCCGTTCGTCCATCTTGATTCGGTGGATAATCATGGCCCGAGTACAGGCGGCAGTCCGGTGGGAGGGTCAGCAATCTCATCATGGATTTGAACAAAGCTGTTGCATCTCCACCAGGGAAGTCGCATCGGGCCGAACCGACGTCGGGCAGGAAGAGAGAGTCGCCTGTGAAGACATTGGAGCCGATCACGTATCCAACGTGGTCAGGGGTATGGCCGGGCAGATGTAGAACCTCGATTTCCAGCTTTCCAAGGGGTAGATGCTCCCCGTCCTCGAGCAACTTGTCGAAAATGCTGACATATTCGGCCTCATTGATGTGGTATTTGGTTGCGAAGGTACGTTGAACCTGCTCAATACGCTTACCAATACAAATCTGAGGCTTCGGGTTTCCTCCGCGGAGAAGTGTTTGTTGGATGTATTTCGAAGCCGTGAGGTGGTCTGCATGAGCATGGGTCTCGAGGATGTAGACGATCCTGTAGTCGTTTCTCTTGGCTAAATCGATGAGATTATCGGCTGAAGTCGTGGTAATGGTGCTTGTGGAGATATTGAAGTCGAGAACGCTGTCAATGATAGCGGCGTCCTTGGTTGCAGGATCGGCAATGATGTATTGCCAGGTGCTAGTGTTTGGCTCGAAGATGGGGTGAACCTCGGGCTGTGTAGGGTCCTTCATGATGAACCTGAAATATGAGACGTAGCAAACGCGTTAAAATCGATTTCGTGAGAAAATGCAATGATGGTCACTTTTCAGATGTTGGGTGGCCCTTGAGGGTAATCCCGAGTCCATATATGCTTCACATTCCATCACCACGACCATCTAGCCCAGTCATGATGATAAAACCACGCGAATAATCCCGGGGAGGTTGGCGAGAGCTTTGCCCTGCGGGCCGACGGGGAATTGATTCAGCTGTGTCAGGTGACCGCCGGGGAAGACTTTTGTGTTCGGCGACCAGAGCTCAGAAGGAAAGATGCCACGGACCACCATCCCCGAACCGCACTCCGCCCGTTGAGTTTCGGCCGTGATTCTCGCGTTCGAGAGGAGGCGAGAGGCGACCCGAATTTCAGATGACTGGCCGGCTCGTCGACATCCGGCCCTGTTTTCCTTTCAAGAGTTGGCTTGCCAACACTTTTAAACAGCCAGGCGAATTTTACTACCACCACTCCCGGATACGGTCAACTTCTCGCTGAACCACGCAGCTATGGATCTCACAGTGCATACATTCACGGGCATGACCTTTGGGGCAGCGCTCACAGCATCTGGAGTTTGGAATCCTTCTACAATTGTCGAGCAAATGCGGTTTCACGACTTCCACATGCTCAAAGTCTTCATGGCAGCAAGTAGTGCGAGCGCGTAAGTTAACCTCCATACTGCATTAGAGAGTGGTCCTAATTAGAGCTTTCCTGAAGACTCATGATGCATCTCCTATCTCTGTCAGGTCGCGTACCAAACAAACCAAGGCCAGAATCAAGACTCCTTACTGGTATACCGTACGACGGAAATATCATCGGAGGAGCAATGGTCGGCTTCGGCATGACACTCACGGGAGCTTGTCCCGGTACCGTCCTCGTCCAAATCGTTACAGGAACATATCCGGGACTATACTCTTTCATCGGGGGACTAGCTGGTGGCATTCTTTACATTCCACTCCAATCTTATCTAAGAAGACCATGCGCGAAGTCTGGAGACGAGAATCTCCTGCTCTATACGAAATACCATCTCAGTCCTAGCTTGTCGGTGCTAGCCTACGAGTCAATGTGCATTGGGGTAATCGGACTCGCCACGAAGCTTGCACCTGCACAGGGAGACAGTCTCTTTCTTCCACCGGTCGTCGGGGGGTTGTTCATCGGCGCAGCCCAACTGGTCTCACTAGCCTTGCGTAGAGCTCCTGTGGGGATCTCGACCGCATACGAAGACATCGGAGCCAAAGTTTGCGGTTTTTTCAAGGAGGAGGAATCGAAGCAGGGAGGGCAGTTTCCTACCCAAGCAATGGCTTTCGCAGCTGGTGTGATGATAGGAGCTTCTACTCTTGTTCGACTCGTACCAAAGATTGTCTTGGCAAATGCGGGATTGGACCTTGGGATATCTCCCATGAGAGCTGTTCTTGGGGGAGTTGTTATGGTGCTAGGGGCAAGGTTAGCTGGTGGTTGCACTTCGGGTCATGGGATCAGCGGGATGAGTATGCTCGCTACGTCGAGTGTGGTGACGGTAGCAAGTATGTTTGGAGGGGGGATGGCGCTTGCACAAGTCATGTCGTGACAAGAGAAGTGATAACAGTTGGGACTCAATAGAAAGATGAGATGGAACGGGGCATTTGCTAAAATGTACTTGATTCTGTAAATGGACTGAGGATGGGTTGCGTCATACCCTGACCCACATGGGCTGCGCACGTGTCCGTCGCATTCACCCTTCAAATAGAGTAAACGGGTCAGCCTATACCATTTCCCATTATGTAAGCATCCCAAGCAGTTGCGCAAATACTCGGTGGGAGCCCTGAGGTAGTCCAGAACTCCGTCTTATTCTCCAAGACATTCATGTCGTGATCGTATGAGCGCGAAGGCCGCACGACTTCTCCGAAACTTTGGCCCACCTGAAAAACCTCGGCGAGGAACCATCACCTGATGGCTTGGGGAGAGGTTGCCCTCCGGCGAGGTTGCACTTCCAGAAATTCCCCGATTGGTCCGCTGCACAAGCGAGTCTCGACTTCTATCGCCGAACTTCCTTCGCCATCCACTTCTCAACCCCCAACCCCGGTGTTCACAGAGAATTCGCCCGATTTGTAATGCTTGATGACTTTTTGGCTGTCTACTGATGACGCGGCATGGAGACTGCAGAGCGATAGGCACCACATGAAGGGTTCATGGGCTTCTAGCTATGCAAGTTGTGTTTCTACGTGCAAAGTCACTTGAGTTGGGTATCTCCAACTCCACAGAATCATTCACCGCCTGCGAGGCTTCTTCCCATCACGAGTCGCCGAAGCGGGCAACTGGTGACTAAGTACCAGTAGCTCGTGGCTCCATTCTCAAGAACATATACACCATGGCGCCACCACATGGCCGACATGCCTGCGGCCGAAGAAGCACAACCTCTCCTGGACTCAAGTTCGGCGCCAATTATGCCTTCGGTATCTCTTAAGGGCAAACTAGCAAACAAATTATTTCATACCGACGCACAACAACGCCCCGAAAGCGAACAAAAAGCCCTCAAGGAGCTCGCCAAGGACGCGGTAGTTACGCCGTACGTCGAGGAAGAGCCGTCTGTAAGAGAATGGATATGGAGTCTCAAACCCACAAGGGAAGGCTCGGTCAAGTATTTTAACAGCTTGTTTCCGTTCATTTCGTGGATGCCTCGGTATAACCTACACTGGATGCTCGGGGATGCCATTGCGGGTCTCACAGTTGGCTTCGTCGTTGTCCCGCAGGCAATGGCGTATGCCCTTCTAGCCAACCTTAGTCCCGAGTATGGCCTGTACACGTCGTTTGTGGGTGCAGCTTTGTATTGGCTGTTTGGCACATCGAAAGATATTGTAATAGGGGTTAGTGTTACTCCCACCTATAAGTTAGCCCAGCTGATTCTTTCTAGACTACTGCCGTCGGATCCCTTCTTGTCGGCGGAGTCATCAACACAGTAGAACGGGAAAAGCCTGGCGTCTACACCCGGGAAGAAGTTGCCAAAGGGCTCTCATTTCTATCCGGCCTCATCCTCATCTTCCTGGGCCTCTTCCGCCTGGGCTGGCTGATCGAATTGATTCCCTACGTTCCCATATCCGCTTTCGTAACATCAGCCAGCTTCACCATCATTGGCACTCAACTCCCAGTTGCCCTCGGTATTACGGGAATCAAGACAAGGGAAGCTCCATACAGGGTGTACATCAACGTCTTGAGAAACCTCGGGAAGACTAAACTTGACGCCACAATCGGACTCACATCGATTGTCCTCCTATTCATCCTGAGGGACGTCTTCGCGAAGCTAGAAGTACGGCGGCCAGCGAAGAAGAGACTATGGGCCATGTTAAGCTCGCTTCGGTTGACCTTTGCAATTCTCCTATACACCTTCATCAGTTGGCTCGTCCACCGGAAACTACCGAAAGGTCAACACAAATTCCGACTTGTAGGCCATATTGAATCCGGATTTAAACACGCTGGTGTGCCTAGAATGTCCCCCGAACTCTTCGGCCTAGTTGCCCCCGAACTCCCTGCCATCATTATCATCTTGATTATCGAGCACATCGCAATTGCGAAATCATTCGGTAGAATCTATGGCTACACGGTGATTCCGTCCCAAGAAACCCTCGCACAGGGTGTGTCCAACACACTCGGGACCTTTATCGGAGGGTACGCCTGCACCGGGTCGTTTGGCGCCTCTGCCGTCTTGACCAAAGCGGGCGTCCGGACGCCACTGGCTGGACTCTTCAGCGCCATGATTCTAGTGCTGGCATTATACGCGCTCACGGCTGTCTTCTACTACATCCCCATGGCGGCTCTCGCAGGCCTAATCATCCACGCAGTCGCGAATCTGATGACTCCACCAAGCGCGCTGTATAAGTACTGGAAACTTGCTCCCCTTGAGCTTCTGATTTGGATCGTTGGAGTGGCAGTCGCGTTGTTCGTGTCCCTCGAGACGTCAATCTACGCCACGATTGCACTATCGTTTGGTTTATTACTCATCCGCACCGCTCGCTCCCAGGGCAGTTTCCTCGGAAGAGTGCAAATCCACCGCGTGGTGGCTACACATACCCAGAGACACACCCATCTCCGAGCTACCGACAACGACGAAGCCGAAACCACCTCCTACAGCTCCAGCACGCACATTGACGGCGCCGAACACCCTCCCGCCCGAGATGCCTACCTCCCCCTCTCCAAATCTCGGTCCCCAAACCCACGAATCCCAGTCCCAGCCCCCTACCCAGGAGTCTTCATATACCGCTTTAATGAATCCTTCAACTACGTCAACAAAGCCCAACACCTTGACCACCTTCTCTCTTACATAGTCTCCCACACCCGGCGCACCAAATCCGGCGACGGCATCCCAATCAAAGACCGTCTCTGGTCCGAGCCCCTCGCAACACCAGGCCGCTCACCCTCTTCCGATCCATCAAAGCCGCTCCTCCGTGCCGTAATCCTGGACTGCGGCACCATCAACCACCTCGATATAACCTCGATCCAAGGCCTGATCGATACGCGAAACACGTTAGACCGATATGCGGCTCCAGAAATCGTAGAATGGCATTTCGCGGGTCTAGCGAACCGATGGGCGAGGCGCGCACTGTCGGTCGCTGGGTTCGGAGTCCCGGTTCTACGTGGTGATGATAGAACCGGGAATTGGTGTCCGGCGTATAGTGTTGCGAGTTCGTTGGCGGGGGCGACGGCGGAGGATAAGAGGAAGGGGAGGGAGATGAAGAGGGAGGTTGAGGGGGGCGATGAGGAGAGAGTGGTTGTGGAGATGGATGACATGACGGGTAGGAAGGGTGGGTGGGGTAAAGAGGGTGGGAGAGAAGGAGGGGTGGGCAAGAGAGAGGTTGATGGGGAGAAGCGGTTGGAACCGATATATGGAGTCGATCGTCCATTTTTCCATGTCGATCTTGTGGATGCGGTGGATATGGCTGTGAGGGATGCGAGGCGAAGAGATGAGATGATGGGTGTACACTCGGACACGAATGTCCATGAGCATGAGAATGGGAGTGTGAGTTAACACAAAGAGGCTTCAAATCCCAGCCTCTTAGGCCGCGAAATCTCCCTCTTTTCTACTGTCCATTTTTCAAGTCTATACCGGATCATAACATAACATCACATCTAAATCCCTCACTTCTACGCGACCGCGAAAACCCTCACAGGCGTAACTTCAAACTCTTGGGGCGGTGCACAAACGCATTATAATCACCTCACGTTCCCTAGAGAAATTATAACTCTGTCTATCCGCATACTGATACCCCGCATAAGCAAAGCTCACTGTGATATTCGCCGGACCCACACCATTCCCTGGGTCGACTCTTGGTTCGGATTTCGCTGCTACGCCGTTATTCACGCCTTCAAGGATTCGGCATGTCTGTTGTTTGAGCGGTTAGTGAAGTGTTTATAAGGTTGGAAGATGACTATAGGAAGGGAGAGTTTTGGCCGCACAAATAAGAGTTCATGCACAGTAGATTAAGGGAAGGGTTACATACCTGATAAAACCCGGTTTTCCTGGCCACTGCAATACGCCTTCACACCCGCAATTTCCGTGCCATCGGAATGCACACTCGCGATCGTGACATTGAAATCGTGACTGCGGGTTTTTCGGCCACAACCCGCGGTCCATCCGCTGACCTCCCAGGTCCAGTTACTCTAGATAGTAATTTAATAGGTCTAGGGGGGAGGAGACAGGGGAGGACAGGATAGTTGTGGAAAGAGCCAATAGCGCGGGGGGCGGGGGGGAGGGGGGGAGGGAGGAGTGCATTTTTTATGGATTGGGTTATTTCGGTGGAAGTGAGAACAACCGGGCAAGAAAAGTGGGAGTGATGTTACAGTTTGATTGTGGACTAGGTGTTGCAGAGTTGATGGTAGATGTAGGAGAGGTGATGTCAAATATGTCACCAGCGGCGGGACTGTATATATCCTCTCCACTCGCAGCATCTTTCTCCATCTGGATCAAATGCATATCATAGCGGTCATACCTTCGGAGCATGAATGGATATTAATATTCTATGCGTAGCGTTGCAGGGGGACCCTTTGGTTAAGTTTAGTGAGGGCGCTAAAAGCTAGTATTTCGTCAAGGGCTTAGCATAGCTTAGCATAGCTAGCAGCCTTATTGGATGTAGATTTTGGAGGGCGCTAAAAATTAGCGCCTTAGCACGTGCCATAAGCTGCGCAGGCATACGTATATATACCCCCTCAGCTTCCTACTCTGATATAGCAATATTTTGCAAGGCACAAGAAAAGCTGAGTCTTGGCAAACTAATTCTCGGTTGCAAAGGGGTTGAAAACATCCCCCAAAAAACATCCACTTGCATTGCCGTCCCTCTCTACAGATTACACCTAACGACTCATGCGCCAAGGTGTAAGATAGGTGCTTAGAAGCGACAGTATATGCTAGACCGCTTAGTTCGATGCCCTAGGGATTTTTCATTGCTTTCTAAATGTCTTGCTGGCATGATTTGAACTCATCTGACGTTCAGCGCTAGTTTACTCCTCCTTCCCTTTTAATGTCATATGATCCGCATAAGATAGGGAAAAGTAAAATTGGTTATCATTTCACCTCCTACGATAGATAGCGTCCATTGTATAAGAAACCCTGGTCTGTTCCTAATTCCCTCTCAAGTGTCTTCGCCATTGTAAATGCGACACTGAGAAAAAACGCCGCACAGTCAGACCCGTCATAATAACTCATACTACTCTTAAAGCATCCATGTAAGCTGTAACAAGGTCGGATTTCGTTGTTGCTTACATGACTGATAATGCCCTAATTACCTCCACAAGTGCTGAAGCGTCCTTACTAAGCAGAACTGCATCCTGTTTGAGCTCTAGATACGAAAACAACTTCTTGTTAACCTGATTTTGAAAGACAGTCTCTCCGACGGCAAATCCTAACATCTGTCCGAAATTGCGGAAGAAAGAGTATAAAACAGCGGCAAATAAAAGACACATGTTGCTTGAGCTGGCTTGGATGGCGAAAATCATCACTCGATAGAGGATACCAAGACCAAGGCCTGAGACCATAGCAATAGTAATCCATTAGCTAGCTGGAGTAGATGCATCAAAGAGCACAAGAAAGCCGATACCATAGACGGCAAGAAACCATCCTAGCCAAATGGCCCACTGCCATCGGCCAGTTTTCTCAATGATGAGGTCAACAGCAGCTGGGCGGGTCTGGTTGTAAACGCGCATAGGAAGAGAGCGACCCCTGACATCTTTGGAGAAAGGCTCTTAGCTGCTTCAAAGTACAATGGCTATGTTCGAATTAGCAGCATAATTAGGAAATAGGTTCTGCAGGGTGAGCTATTACCATGTAATATAGTGCCGACCACAAGAACATCCCGTGAACAACGATCCCAAAGTAGGCGAATAGCGTGAGCAACCTTGTGTCGGTGCTGCAGTATCAGGGAGAGTATAAGGGGGCTGAGGAGATGAACCGGCGCGCGCTAGAGGGGAGAGAGAAGGCGTCAGGGAAGGAACACCCCGACACGCTGACCGGCGTGAGCAATTTTGTCTATCTACTAAATCACCTATATCAGTATGAAGACACTCTACTACTCTGTCGGAGAGCCTCTTCTAGCTATATAACGACTCTCAGGCTAGATAACCCAACAATTCGAGCATATCTGGACTGCCAGTATTCCCTTCAGCAGTTGTTGAACAGGTTAGCAACAGACGACACAAGGCACCAAGTTATGTACGGCAATACTCATCTAACATATCCTAGGTCTCTAGGCGTAAGTCTCCCTAGACAAGGGTCCGCCCGCTGGTAGTGGAGGGTCAAGAAGTGTGTTAGCCGTCAGGTCCATAATTAATCTGCCTGCTAATGATAGATACAAAGACCGATAGATAAATAACAGTAGTTAGAGGGCGTAGTAAGCACGTTTTGTACTGGTGAGTCATGGTAAAGCGGTAGCGAGGCATTGATTGTTGTCACCAGCCGCAGGGAGGACGGCCGACACGCTCCGGCCATGGCCTTGTGAAGTAGCGATTCTGTAGGCCAGAATCTTGGTCAAAGTGAGATTTTAATCAGGTTGTCATCCGACGAAGTGCTACGTTATGCTTGGCCACAACTAAAGCGGCCTAATACGCTAGAGTGGAAGGCAAACCCCGGTGAAGCCTCTCGTATTGCCTGCAGGCATTTAAGAACTAGCATGGGGCTCATCACATTCCCATTCCCACACATCCCACATTCTGCGCTTTCTACACTGCTCGCTTTCAGGACGACGGCTCTCCTAGATGGCAAGAGTAACTACATTTCGTGGTCACCATTGGCCAAAATGGAGCACATTAACCTGTCTTACAATTCATCTTACAAGTTATATTGGTCTCACTGCGGTCTCATGTCTAGATCCAGTGTTTTGGGTTAATCCCTTTGGAAATGGGAGTTATGATGGCAACAACAAGTATATCTAGCAACAACCAACTGGTTATTTTGGTAGTACTCAGGCTTACTTCTTCAAAGCATCCCTCTCAAAGTTGTGAGCATTACAGGCCTTGTCTTCTGTGTGCTCTTCCTCTGCATATACCTCCGAATAAGTCGCTATCTAGTGCCGCAAGCGGTCGCACTCATCTCTTTTGCTCTCGCTGTCGCGTGGATTGCTCTGATGAGCTACAATAGTCAAGCATTGAAAGACATGCAAATGGGATCCGGTTATAGCTTCACCACAATAATAGACGATGGCGCCGATCTCCAGAAATTTCTTGCAGCATACTGTATGATGACATTTGTTGTGTGAGCCAAAGCAAATCCAAGTGGATCTAAATTCAGCTAATAGATGTTATTAGCGTCTCGAGTGTGGACTTAATCCTACTCGCCGTCTACGTCCTTTTACACTCAGAAAACTCCACGTCAGCACTTCAACTCTCATCTATGGGAGAAAATAAAGCAAGAACGCCACCGAACGACCAAGTGGCATGGAGTTCAACTCTCCCTGAGGCCAGAGACAGTCCGACTCAATATCCTTTCACTGCGCAGGAGTTGGCTGGACAGCCCACTCAACGAACGGCGCTTCCCACCAGTGCGACGACCACCAGAGCCGAAAATTTCCATAACCTTGCTGAATTGGAGGCCGGAGTTTCAGCGAATGTCAGAAAACCATCTGCTCGACAACTCGTGATCGATGGCGTGGTTTTCCAAGCCGTGGAGTGAGAATTGCGGATCTTCCGCCAAATTCAGCCTCGCTCGCTTGGTTTGTCTTTTCTAGGTGGGAAATGGTGAGTAGCGCATATCTTTTCGCTCTCATTGGACCACAACCATACCATTGTTGTGGCTTGGTCGTATGATATAATACCACATTCGGCTGGATACAGGAATAATTATTATGATATGCTTGGAAGCCCATCATCCATAAGACTGTTATTGAGGAGACATATCGTTGTTTACACTTTTCATCTCCCTCAAACACATCGCCGGAGCACCTGTCCGAAACGCGATACAAGTAAGCCGCCGATATGCGAGGTTTGAGTGACTGAACCGAATGCTAGGGGAGCTTGGAGACCTCCTTATAGGTAAATATCTCATCCTAGAAGTTAGGCCCATTGCCAACAGATCCTAGTTGCGTGTTCAAATTAATACTTTGCGTTCATACCACCATGCGCTTCAATGTTCCTCTACATGGCTAATCGCAACGAAAACAACGGCTTCATTTCGCTCAATTAGGTTCTATATGCTATTTTCACGGCACATTTTGTCGTCTATGTCGCTTTCGATGAGTATGTGATTGCGCGGTGATTTTGGAAAGAAATTAATAAGATCTGCCAAAGCTAGAAGGAGGCAAGTGTTCATCTCAACACTTATGATTAGAAGGGAAGCAGGTAACCAGCAAGAACACGGTTTATTCCATGACATACGCTTATATCTGCATAGGAGGCTTCATCATCGGTATTATCGAGATGCACACTACCCTCACCAGATCACCATAGCACCAGGCGGTATTTTAGTGCTTTCTCGAAGTGGGAAATTCCTGGGTATAGACGAAACAAGACTCTCGGCTCAGACTAAATCAGGTTATCCTACTAAAGGACCGGTCTGCTTTTAAGTTTTTCGGATTGTCATCTAGACCATCGAGAAAATTGCTAGTCTACTTATCGCCTTTTTCGAAATTCATACCTTCGCCCATCCTGTCTGTGCTGCTCTTCTACATTATCTGGTTTAGAAACCACAAGAGTTATGTCTCCTTACTAGTGTTTCTTATGAACAGACAGGGGTTATTAGCTAGATGCTGCTCCATCACGAAAGCGAACTTCAACAGCCTCAACATAGAAATGCTGTCTCCATTCCTGGTATGGATATTTCACTCACCAGTTTCCGGATACTGTTATAGAAAAAAGCATCTATTGGCTCAACGACGTTATGGATCTCTAGACAGGACCTCCATATGCACAGCTAGACCAGAACTCCCATTCATCGCCAATACTCTGACATCAACGCTCGGAAAAGGAAGAAAGTGCATTTTGTGCTATCTATTTGCAGGAGGAACTTTCTTAATTGGCGTTGCCTGTCTATTCTGACGATATGCACTTTTTACCATAGAAAGCGAAGAAAATAGCTTGGCTTGAGATCTCGCTCATTCCTCCCTCGTTGGGGATAGGCGAAGCTTAAGCCATGATATCAAATCATCCAAGCACTTCTTCCTTGATGATCTCTTTGGCCGGATTGCCAACACCTGGAGTACCTTTGCCCTCGCCCTTCTTCAAAGGATCATCCAGTTTCGTCGCAAGAGTGCTTCTCTATAGTCGTAAATTCGAGGGGCCATTCGTGTTCCCTCTTCAGCTTGTCGCGAATATCCCAGCGACCGCTTCGACACCGACTGTAACTTCTAGACCCTTTCCAGCTTCGCCAAACCCCGCAGGAGTTGATTCCCACCTGTCAAACCACCACTGCTTGCTCTCACTCCTGACGCTCCCTTATCCCCGGCTCCGCCTTTTCCTTATCCTCGTCCACCTCAAGCCTAGCCTTGACATTGACATACCGCTTCCTAACACGGTCCGTAGTTATCAGATTCTACTACGTAAACGCATCAACACGAGCCCCTCCCCATCTGAATGGCCCAAACATACCCGAATCTCAACGCCACACCTCGAGCATGAACTCGGCACGTACTGTCACCACACAACCCAACCCTTCCCATATATTAGACGACCGATACACCATCGCATCTCCATCTGCATCCTATACCCCCTCATCACCAGCATCTACTGTGGTCAATGAGGAACCCCTGCCCTCCCTCAGATCTCAGCCTGGCACCCTCCGCAATACTTCCTCCTGGTGACCAATACGCTAAGCCCCTTGTTGATAACATGCTGCTATACCAAGGCTCTATCTCTCCTATCCGTTTAAGAAAATAACATTGGTGCATGGCATTCACGGAACATTCTAGATAAGAGATACCCAAAGCAAGCACTCGGTTCAGTATTCAAGCATCCAGGAGTCACAGGCATACGAAAACACTTGGCATTGTGTTCGCTCCGAACTCTCTTGTCACATATAGTTTCGCTTTTCTTGTAGCGGTGGATAACGCATGTCATGTCTATACGTCTTCAAGTCCGGTCTATTGCTACATCTACCAAGAATCCTCGGTTTCCACTCCTACAGCCATTGGTCTCTAGTTAAGACTTCGCTAGTCTAATCGAATCTCTCTCTTTTCCTGAAAATGCTGCAAGCTTGAGAAGCTTTACATCGTCCTCCCCTTTGTAACAAGACAACAAATCCTCCGTCGGCGAGGCAACAATCTGCTCTGGAATGGGGCCGTCTTGCACTGCACATTTTTTTAGCGCTTTTGGATATAAGTAGGGGAAGGAGAAAGACCAATCATGCAGGTCCCATTGCGTATCAGATTTTACATACTCAATCCCATGTGCCGATGTCAGTTCTATGATGTCGTTAAGGAAGGTCACAAGAATAGAGAAGGAAAGGTAGACGAATAAGCAAATAAACATCCATTCGTTGAAGTAGGAACAATCTGCCGTTAGCCAATCAGACCAAACGCCTAACCCCACTACCAATGCCGATGCCCAAGTTAAAGATACCAACACCATGCTTTGATCGTCTCAACACTCCCCCACCCTCCCAAGCACTCTCCTATCACCTCAACATACTCTTCCCCACCCCATTACTCCTCCTGCCGACCCTTCTCATCCCCTCCAGCTTCCTCACCAACTCCGCATGTAACTTCTTATTCCCCGCCCACTCCCCCGCCAGTTTCTTCATCCTCAACGCCGCAACAACCGTCAAGGCTGCTGTCTTCAGCGACGGTTTGCGGGCGTGATATGAGATATCGGGCGTGATGCCCATTTGCTCGATAAGGTTGAGGTCTTCTTTGTTGCTGTACAAAACGAATCAGCTATACAGGTACTTTTATTCACACTGGAGAGACAGGCTCGAATGAGATGAGAAGAGGGGGTGGAAAGCTGTTTTGTTTTGGGGGGGAGAAAATACATACCATTGTCCATAAACCTCAATCATCATCAAAAAGAACCTCTTCTGATACCCTAATGCTTCCCTAAATCCCTCCTCACGCACACATCTTGCGCGCAGATACTGAATCTGCTTCGCCAGACCATGTAATTCCTTCCCATGCCGTTTCTCCTTGTCCATGACCTGCTGCTTCAGATCGAGTACTTGGTCACTGTGAATATCGCCGTGTTGGTACGCCTGCAGGGCTTTATGTGAGGATTCGAGGGAGGATTTCAGCGTACGGACTTGTTGCTCCTTCTCCCAAATCAGGGATTTCGTCGACTCTTTGAGACTCCGAAGACGCGCATCCCGGTCTTGAAGCTGGGCTTGTAGGTCTTCGACATCGAGCGTGGAGCTTTGCAGGCGTTCTCGTAGCACGTGGAGTTCATTTACGTGGCGCTTTTCAGTGCGATCATGGGTGCTGGGGGAAATGTGGAGTCTCATTGTTCCCTGAACGGCCTCCAGCTCTCCATCCTTCTCAGAGACTTGGAGCTGCAGACTCTCGACTTCGGCTTCGGCATCGCGAAGTTTCTGTTCTCGGTCACGAATCTCGGCGCGGAGACGGCGTTCGAGTTCGGTGCGGTCTCTTTCTAGTTCATTGACGCGACTAGATAGGTCCTCGGCCTCTAGTTTTGATTTTTTGAGGAGTTCGTGGAGATCATGCCGTTCCTTTGTGGAAGCTGCATCCGAGGCCGAGGCCTGCCGCTGTGACTGAAAGTCTTTGGCAAACTTGTCAAGACGTATGCGGAGGTCTTCCCGGTCTTGGTCTGCGACATTGAGATCTGATTCTAGGCTCTCGATCCGTGTCGTCAAACGGGTCTTCTCGCGCTCAGCGTCACGAAGATTCCTCTCAAGAGCATTAGCATTCTTTTGCACATCGTACGACTCTTGCACCTCCCTCTCAAGCACGCGAATCTTGTCCTCCAGGCTCTGTTTCCCATCCTCAGCTTCATCGATAGACTCCTGCAAGACATCAATCTCATCTTCTAGGTCTTGCTTTTCACGTCGAGCTGTGTCTTTGAGTTCTTCCAGTGCGTCCAGTCTCTCCTCCGCAAGCCGCTGCAAGCCGTCCAAGTCACTCTTCTGCTTGTTGATTTCATCGCGCAGCGTCTCAAGCTCGTCGTCTCGCTTCCGCACAATGTCCTGCATAACATCAAGTTGTGTGTCCGGCTCATCAGCGTGACTTCGGAGCGCATCTAGCTCAGCTTCGCGGTCTTGGATGGTCTTGCGGGCAGTTTCGAGGTCGCGTGTGCGGTCGCTAAGATCGACTCTCAGCGCCTTCAGGTCTTCGAGGGCAGATTCTTGGCTCTCAGTTTTCTTCTGAAGGGCTGAAATGTCTCGCTCACGGGCAGAGAGTGTCGTGCGGAGGGCTAAGATTTCGCGGGAGAGGTTGTCGCGTTCGCGGGTGACTTTTTGTAGAGCCTCGATCTGGGTGTCTTTGCTTGACATTGCAGTGCGGAGGCCGCGGATCTCTTGAGTAGCATCTTCACGCTCTTGTCGGAGCTTCTCTAGGTTCTCCAGTTCGCGGTCCTTGGAAGTGATAGTCTTGTGGAGCTGCTGTACTTGCTGCTCATACGATGACGATTGGGTTTGTAGGCGGGCAAGCTGGTCCCTACTATCCCGGAGCTGTTTACGGAGGTCATCTAACTCGTCAACCTTCGATTCAGCAGTATCAACACGTGATTGAAGGAGCTCGATCTCAACTCCCTTCTCACGAGCGATGTCCAGAACCTTTTGACGAGCGTCGTTGGCAGCTTGTTGTGCGAGTTGGACCTGGTTGTCGCCTTGTGACTCGGCTAGCTTGAGTCGATCCTGCAATGCGTCAAGCTCCGCCCGCCTCCCATTCTCGATAGACTGAATTTGGCGCTGTAGGGCTCTAATTTCAAGGTCCTTTTCGCATTCAAGTCCCTGCACACGGTCTTGGAGAGTGGTGATTTCCTCCCGCTTCTGCTCTTCCATCATTTCTAACTGCCTCTCCGCCATGTTGAGTTGCTGCTCCAACGTGCGGATACCTTCCTCCTTGCCACTAGAGGCCAAATCAAGCTTTTCCTGCAGAGCATTGATTTCTGCATCCTTGGACTGGGTGAGTGATCGGAGCTGTTCTTCCACATCCTCCAACTGATTCTCCACCTGGTCGAGCTGCTGCTCTAAGCTGCGGACACCTTCATCTTTGTCATCAGAGGCTGCATCCAGCTTTTCCTGAAGAGCATCGATCTCTGCATCTTTGGACCGGGTGAGCGAGCGTAGCTGTTCTTCTAAATCCGCGATCTTCTCGGCCTGCTCATCCAACAGTTGTTGCTTTTCGTCCAAACAAGCGTCTTGTGATAATCCCGCTGTCCTAAGCTTCTCCTCGAGCTCTTCGATGTGGCCTTCCTGCTCGTCTAGCAACTCATCCCTGCGCTTCAGCTCGTGTTCTGCAACATCAAGCTCTTTACTCAGTCTATCAAGCTCATCTTCGTTATCTTGGGCGTCATCTAACTTAGCCTGCAGCTCTTCAATCTCGGCCGCACGCTCCTCTGCTATCCGTCTCAGCTCGTCCATCTCTTCGCGCAAGCCCTCGTCAGCATGCCGCCTCTTGACCTTTTCGGCGTACTCCCTCAGCTGTTCTCTATACGTTTCAAGCTCCTTCTCAGCCGTCTTCAAGTTCTTGGAGTATTTGTGGAGATCGTGCACCATCTGCACCTTCTCTGTCTTCAGACTGATGTTCTCTTTTAGCGTAGCGGCGTTGAACTCGGGACCGGACTTCTTCAGGCCTTCTTCGAGGAAGTGAATTTTCAGTTTGAGGCCAAAATTTTCTTTGTCAATTTGTTCTAGGCGCTAGCGAAACAGGTCAGCAAGGCACAGCAGAATCGTGAACTGCACGTGTAAATGTTGCTTACGGCCTCCTGCTCCCTCAAAGTCAGAACATTACCATTCCCCCCATCCAGCTCACCTTCCCCCCTCCTAGGCAACGCCATTGGCGTACTCATCGCGCTCGAACTTGCCAAATCCGGCACGGGTGTCCGGCCATCAACCAGCGAATCGCTCATCGAGCTCGAATTCATAGCATCAAACGTGCTCGCTTCTGGCAGTGGCGTATTACCCAGCTCAAACCCCGGCTTCATAGCTGCAGGTGTCGCGATCTTCCCATTCAATAAGCCATTAACCTGTCTTGTGCGGTTCGCGGTTGCGCTCTTCAACATGGGCGTGAATTCATTCTTCGCCTTTGGGTTCCGCAGCGCGGCGAGTGGATTGCGGGGAGTGGAAATGGCTTGGCGCGCGCCGCGCATCTGCTTGAAGAGGTTGTCACGGTCGGCGGGTGCGTGGAAGGATGGCTCGATGCTGAGATCTAGGTCGGCTTGGGTTTCGTGGAAGCGCGTATGGTCGGCCACGGTGGAGGGCGTGTTGAGGATGTGCGCCATGGTGGGTGGGTTTATATGGTGTTATTTGTAACGCATGAGCGAGAGAAATAGAGGAATTGAGCGGGTGCTCGTTATAGAGTGGGAGGGACTGTTGGAGTTGAGCGTGTTTGTTTACAAATGGCGCTGACAGGGGTGGCTTGCGCTAGTGTTGTTGCTAACCTAAGTTAGGTTGGCGGGCCTCGGGCGGCTGAAGCGAAAACACGTGTGCCAAGCCTGGCTCAAAAGTCGCCCGCCACTGTTGTTGAGTGTCCCTTCGTTGCCAATATCACATTCACCTTCACCTGCATCTCGTGATCCTGGAGCTGGGACTAACTTCATAAAGTCCCCGGCTTCTCGCGATTTTCCAGCACTCCGCAGGCCTAGTAGGCACATCATATCTAGTCACCATGTCCAATGTCCCAAGAGACGACTTCAAATGGTTCGGCGAAGGCTTCACAGGCTTCCCAAAACACCTACCCGAAGACGTTGTTGAATACACCATTTTCATCCTTAATACCGCCCTTTCTGGCACCCACACCCGGGAGCGCCTCCAGGCCTTCCAACGCGCCCTCACCTCTCTCTCTCAGAAATTTCTCAAAGATTACATCTGGCAACGTGATTCCATCACCCTCTCACTGCAGCGTGAAGGTAGACTATGGCTGCTCAAAGGCCGTACAAATTACGGAGACAGTGTTGCGGACGAGTGGCTGATCGTCTATTTTCTGCGCGAACTAAGTAAAGAGTTTCCAGATGCTTGGATCCGCATTCACGACACCGATGGCGAGTTCCTCCTCATCGAAGCCGCAAACGCGCTGCCGAAATGGCTGAGTCCTGAAGTCGCGGAAAATAGAGTCTGGATTAACAATCATCGTCTCGTCATTATCCCTCTCTCGAAACAAGAAAACAAAATTCCAGCGCCGTTGGATCTAAACGAGGCACTCGAAATCATCAAAGAAACTCCAGCAAAATTACTGCAGATACAGAAAGTCGAAGAAGAAGCATTCCACCGCCTGAAGAACTACCCGGCAGCAATATCCACAAATCAGCACCATGCTACTATTCCTCTTCCTCGGAAAGTCGCATATATCCTCTACAGCAATCCGTCGTACATCGCGTCTGTAGTCGAAGCTTTCTATCTCCGAGATCCAATCTCTCTCCGACTCATTCAGCCCGAGAAGGCGCGGAAGCCTCTGTCGTTCACCCCAGAAGATTTCGTACAGGTGAGTGTCAGGTTTACGAAGGTCTTGTATGCACAGCTACGAAGTCAGGAATGGGTGCCGCCTGGACCGTGGGGGGATGCTCTTGCGAGGCTGGTTGAGGGAGAAGGGAAGACGTCATCTGTGTGGAGAGAGAAGGCGGAGATCGCGATTAAGGTGGCTGCGGGGCTGGAAATGTTGGTGCAGCATAAGATCTATGGTGACAAGAAGGCTGTTCGAGAAATTGGGCTGCTGTTAGAGGATATTGCGTCTGGTGATGATGTGCTCCCGAGTGATGCAGAGGTTGCGGAGTGGCCGAAACGGGAGGATGACGAGTCGTGGCTAGATATCGACTTTACGGACTTTGAACGCGAGCTCTCAGGGAAGGGGAAACCGGGTGAAAGTGGAGGGAATGGTGGCTTCGGGGATAAAGCAGCACTGGAAAATCTCCGCAAAATGACTGAACGCTTTAATACCTTCCTAGACGACGAAGACGCGGGCCTAGACGGTGCTACAGGCCTTGGTCTCGACCCCATGGATATTGACAACGACTCTGACTCCGAAACCCGAGAGTGGGACGATCCGGAGGACAGCGAGGATGAGGACTCCGACGGCGACGACGAGGGGTTTGACGAAGACGAGTACAAGCAAGTGCTGGATCGGTTCATGGCGTTGAGTTCGGCAGAGAAATCCGCGCTCTTGGATGAAGCGCGAGAACTAGCCAGAGAGCAGGAAGCAGAGGACGAGGAGGACGAGGAGATCCGGAAGTTGAGTGAAGCGATGGAGGCAGAACTTTTCAGTCACGGGGCCTTGAAACTCGACTCTGAAATGAAACCAAAAAAGAGCCAAAATAAGGGGAAGGGTAGGGTCGAAGAGACGGTCGAAGAGGAAGAAGATGCTGCTGAGGATCTTCTGGATGAAGATTACAATCTCGTCAATAATTTACTTCAGAGCTTCAAGGGGCAGGCAGGGATGGCAGGGCCCGCAGGGAATCTGATGGGCATGATGGGCGTGCATCTGCCACGAGATGCGGACGACGAGCGCAAAGGCTGAGGGGGTTTCGTGAGGGAAGAGGATGCGGGAAAAGGGTGAGGGAAAACTAACCCTTTGTCTGCCGAGAGTATCCAGCAAGGAGCTGGAAGGCCTTCTACTGTTGTGTTAGCCTAGCGAAACTACTATGACCTCTCTACATCCGCTTTCCTCAAATCTTTAATTAGTTAGGAAAGTGAACTTACTCAGCGCGTCCTAAACCCCCCACAATACGCGCAAAACTGCACGTCGCTCCTTGTCGGCCCCCACCGCTCACACCGAGCACACTTCCCATCCCTCAAACCCTGAGCATAGGCCATCAGCACAGCCAGCTCCGCCGAGCGACACGCCGCACACGTCCAGGCATCGCCACAGCGACAACCACGGTAACCGTTCCCGTGACGGGCGACAGCCTCGTTAGCACAAGTGCTGCAGACAAGGCCGCGTGCCCCTTGGTGCGTGACGCCGGTTGCGTTGGCGGCGCTGGGCCGTTGCGAGAAAGCCACTCGGCACCCCTTACAAACGGTGAAGGGCCCGATGTGAGCGGCGCACTGGTGCACGGGGCCCCAGTGCGTGCCTTGGTCCACCGAGAGAGCCTCCGCGCAAGTTTGTGGTTGCGGTTGTGGTTCTGGTTCTAGGTGCAAGTAAACATGTTCTCTGGATAGGAGAGGTAGGGGGGTTGGGGCTTACGGGACTGTGATTGAGACATTGTGGTTTGTTTTAGGGGAGGCGGGGTAGAGCTGAGTTGGAGGAAGCGATTTAGGACTAAAGGTCAAAAGGCTGAGGGAGGTGGCTGTTATATAGGCCTCCGGTAATGACTGGGGGGAGCGCCAAGATTTGCCACCGCTGCTTGGGAAACTGTGCAGCTACCTAGGCGGCGACAGGAAGAGATCAGTCGCTGGCGTTCTAGGACTTTCTGGCCAGGATAGTGAATGGTTGGCATCATTCCCGGTATAGATCGAGAGCAGCCTGACCCTATTATGCTGTAGGTGCAATGGGCGGTGAGGGAGCTTATGGCACTGCAGGAGAAAGTTGAATAGGACAGCTATCTGTTGAGTATAGCTTTGTCAGTTAGGTCTAGCAAGCTCTGTTGATAAATATAGTCGTATTGTGACGCACCAAGGATAGTCTGAGTACGTTGAATATGGAGCATCCTCACGCTCTAGGTGGTGACATATTCTGAGAGCTGTTCAGATACCACAGATATATCCTATAATCCAACCGTCTTAATAATTTCTCGCAAGCTTCACTCAGGAGCATGACTACTCCTGCGGCCGGCCGTAAGCGCACACGAGAGACTAAATGCTTTTACAGCTAGCAAAGAGAACAACCACGGTCGCCACAATGCCTTGCTACATTTTTGACGGATGCTGGAAGGTGCAGTGTATCTGCATATTTTATATGCTCTTGGCTTTGAACGAGATTGTTTTCAGAGTGGTAAGTCAGCTCTCGTAATCAAGTGGTGTTAATCTTGACATGACAGATTGTTTCTATGACGTATACAGTACAGGTGCAGTCAACTTCACATCATCCAGCGCTTACTTGGCAGGCGTTCTCGTTCAGAAGGAGATTGCTGACTGGGGCCGGAAGTGCTTGATGGGCAGCACATGAGGTGTGGTATGACCGGAGTGTCAACCACGGCCTTCTAATCCTCTTTGAGTGCATTCAGAGACATGCTGTACATCCTCCACCCCCACTCCCACTCCAGACTAAGACAATGCGATCAAGTGACGTGACAATTCTGTTTCAGTTTACCGAGCAACCCAATCGCATGCTTATGGCCGGTGCAGATGCAAAGTCTAAAGTGAATGCGGGAGTCGGCGCTTGAATTGAGAGTTGGTGGAGGTTGGTTACACGAAGAGGTGGCGCATTAGCTAAGATATATTGCGTGAAGGGATGTGCGTGAAGACGTCTAGTGTGGGTACGTCTTGCTCCTCCGGAAATACGAGCGTTATGGCCTTATCGCAGCTGTTTAGTTGGCTGAACTGGAGGGTGGTGCCTTGCTAGCATCAAGGAGAGAGAAATTTGATGGGAATTTATGTTACTGAAGAGGCCTTTTAGGTAGATGATTAAACAAGAAAGAAAACAATGGAAACAGAGAAACAGCAACCTTAGTAGAGACTTGTGCGGGTGTGCTCGGAAACATGAAACGAACGAGGGGCGCGAACTACTGCAGCTCGCAGACTCTTACCCCTCGAAGACATAATTCCTGATGATGGCTTGGGCCTTCGACCTCGACGACTTTGTCTTTGTCGAATTGATCCACTGGGACCCAGCGGAGAAGTGAAAATTGACTCAGCAGGGTCTGTGCGGTCATGCACCACGGGGATTTAACCATGGCGTCGGCGGAACTTAAACCAACGTCTTAAGATGTTTCTCCACTTTGCCAAATATCTCCAAACCCTGGTAATAGCAGATTGGAAATCAGGAGAGCGTACTAGAGATCCAGCGGCTTGAAAGTTATTCCTGCGCCGACTCGAAACGATATGCCGTGTGACGTGGCTTCGTCCGACCGACCGGCTTGTCTAAAATGGCAAACGAACATGCATACGAACATGCGGCTACCTCAGCCTCATCCTCACTCATCACCGTACTCATCCTATCTATCCCCAGGATCCGTTTCACATATTTCAATCCTCCGCAAGAGCCGCATGCACGTCAAATCCCGTCGGCATGAGCGATCTAGTTATCACTCGGACGTCGAATGTGCCTTGTCATGGCCCCCAGTCATTGCCCGCTAAACCGCATCCATACGCACTAGCCACGAATGTCTCACTTTAAACCAAATGCGGGAATTTGGCGACGCAAAATCGGGAATCATGCGATATAAGCGCGCGGAGCGTAGGGGCTAGTTGCCGCATTGAGGCCGAGGCGCAAGGCAGCCTTTTGGGGTAATTGGAGACGGATTAGGACGAGTGTGGAAAGGTGGTGGTATGTCGGAGTGACTTGGAGAGCTGCTAGGTACAGAAGGGTTTGGTGTAGGAATCGGAGGAGTGAAAGTTGGTTCTGGGCTTGGAGGGGTTGTATTTGGAGGGGTACTCCTTGGATTGGTGCCGACCATATATCTTTATCGTGACGTCCTCAGGATATTCGATATTCGCAACCGACTCATATCCTTACCCACAACGACGACGACGGCTTTTCTCGTTGCTCCACGCAAATCTCATCTTTGGGCTTGATTCAGGCCCTGCACTGAGGTGCAAAAGCATCCATTCACTCTTCATATCGGCGTCGTTACCTCTGAACCATATTCTATCAACAGTTGTTGCGTCACTTCGGCAAACCTTGCAAATTCAACACCAAGTCTCTTATCCCAGGAGACTGCAAAAAACGAGGGAATACTGCTCTTGTGCTTGTTCAGTGTCCCCCAGGACTACCGTCAATTCCCCACTTTATCCTACCTTCTCGAGGTCTCCCTCCCTTCAGCCCTATCCAACATAAAGCTTCCAGATTTCTCGATAACCGAACAGCTCTAGACCCTGCGAGCAACGAAGAGACGAAGCGTAAAGGAGCAGACCTCGCACCAGAGTCAGCCATATTACTATGGCAAACCCCAACCCACATCCCCAGCATCCCTCCCAACAACAGCAGCAACACCAACCATGGACTACCTCCCCACCCTCAGCCTCTACTCAACCCTCTTCGCCCCCTACATACCCGTACACCCAGGCACCGCAATACCCATCAGCATTCCAACACCCACAACAGCATCAACAGCAGCCGCATCAGCAGCAACGTCAGACCACTCCACTTCCCCCCGCCTATCCCCCCGCCTTTCAACCTCAACGACACCAGACAGCCTTCCACCATTACCAGCCTCCACAGCGTCAAAATGTTGTGTCAGGGAATCACCAGATCACGGCGCCTTTCCAAATTCCAAGAATGCCGCATCCGTGGCCGGTACCTGGGGGCCAGCTGATTGATCCGCAGCTGCTGGCGGCGGGCAGGGGAGGAGAGGCTGTAAAGGGGAAGGATAAGGGACCAGCACCGCCGGGTCAGTGGCAGAGACCTCAAGGGGAATGGCCAACCAGCAGAGGGTCTTGATGAGAGGGGTTGTTCGGGAGGCAGGGGAGCAGACACGGCGACACTAGAGTTAGAATTAGATGATTGGAGGTCGTAAATAGCTCCTACATGGCGAGATGATTTGGGATGGTATGGTATCTGGCGCAAGTGTTTCCTTAGACTCAATGACACTGGAATTTAGGAATTTAACGCGATGGGAGATGATCTGAACGCATAACTGGCTAGGGGGTTTCGAAATTTAGGTTTGGAATTCGCTCAGTTACTTTTATCTTATGTTCCAGTCCTTCGCATCAAAAGATCTCATATTTTCTCTATGCTCCGTTCATCCACCATCTTCATATCCAAACTTTCAACATCAATCCCCCAGTCATACGTATATATCCTCTCATTCCTACCTCCTCCTCTCCATCCTTTTCATCATCTTTCAACCCCAACATTATGGCCTCCAACGACGCAGCGGGGCGGGATAAAATCTCGTTAGACCTCATTCTTGCAGCCCCACTAAAGTACCAACCGAACAATCTTCCACCCACATAATCAACTCCCGCAGCTTCAACACCAGTCCTTCAGTGTAGTCTCAAGGCTCTTCCACCGCCGACCCTAATTCAACTCCCGCCATCGTTGCAACGAGCACTGATACTCTTACAAACCGCTGTTCCACTCTCATCGTCCCAAAATCACAACCCCCATGTTCAACCCTTACGAAAACATATCCCTAATCCAAAACATGCTCCGCCAAATATCCTGGAACCAAACGCTAACCTTCTTACATGGAAGTACATCATCTCAAGCCAGAATACTCCAGAAGTACCCCAGCAAGTGCTTCTCCGACACGCCACATTCACCCACCATTGAAACTTCCACATACCTAGACTTCCCACCAGCCCCGCCATTTTCGCCGAGGTGGTGAGGATAGCAGGAGAGAGACAAAACTAAGCCACCTCCTAAGAAAACGCAAAAGCTACTACGACTCGAAAGGGGCTGTGCCAACAGACCGCGACACTAAAAGACAAACTAGACCCCGCGCAGCCGTTGCCATAGACGGAAGCAGATGATAGAAAATTACTACATATATACTTTCAGATAAAAGAGGGTGTAGAGATTACTAAGAAATGCGGAGGAATAAGGAACATGTGGCTGCCAAGAGAAGGGTACAGACAGATCTGACGACGAAACAGGTGCTTTATGATAGGCTGATAGGGGCGTAAATGAATATGAACGGCGATGAGATGAAATAAAGCCCAGGGTAAAGATTGAGGTAAGAGGGGAATGTCAAAGAGGAAGAGGGTTAAGGGGGGTATTCCTGGTCTAAGTGAGTTTGGTCTCCGGGAATTGAGAATGCATTTGGGTTTGCTTCTCGTATAGGGTGCGATCGCTATACCGTAAATAGACTGCTGATTGGCTTCTGAATGTTTCTGCTCCCGCATGCTGAAGCGTTGCTGGCAAATATGACTCCGGTTGAAGTATAGAAGTCAAAGCAGCTTCCCTATTGCATATAAGGCTGGTGCCCTACGTATATCTTTCCACCCAGCCTCAGCTAGGAAGTAATCTTTATGCCCCATTACCGCCCCTACCTTTTCTCCGTCTTAACTTAGCCTCTCATGGTGATGAGAAAATTGACCCTGCTAGTATCCGGGTCTCGGTATCTCGGTCTTTCGACGTACGTATTTTTCGGTTAGGTCTACCTCGGAGAATGCGCATTTATGTATCTCGCCGTCTCAGCCTTTCGTTCTTCCATAGTGAGCTGCTTACTATTTGTGTATGTAGCACCTTGTCAGTTAGCGAGTGGTCGGACCATGAATTCTTGCTCTTCGTCTGTATTTGGGAAACTGGAGTAGATTAGGCAAGGGATGGATGGAAAAGGCGAAAGCCATGCAATACAAGATGGTAGCTTAGGTAGAATGCTTTGAATGAATATATGAAATGAAATACGAAGATACTATAGGAAAGGACAAAAGTTAGGTGCAGCTGGTAGCTAGGCTTTTGGTCATGCCCAGTCTGAAGGAAATAGTTTAAAAAAAATGGTGTGTACAGATATAAAATAAGAAGGCTTTGAGCCGGCGGTGTTCAAATCGGAAGGGAAATATTTAGAATTTAGGAGAGGGGTGAAGTCCAGATAAAAATTATCCCTACAAGGATCGGCACAACCAACACCCATCTATACTATCAAGAAATCCACAAACTGACTCATTCCATGCTCTGCTCCACTGGATACAATACACCCACTCCACAATCCTTCCTGAGGCTAATTCATTCCCTCTTCAAGCACTCCTCAGTGTCAGCTTTACATCTAACTTCCCGACATTCAACGTAAACACATCCTTCGTATCCTGCTCCACGCTCTCCCCGTTCTCGCCATCCGCAAACCTCATCTCAAACGCACGCACCAGATTCGCGGTCACACTCTTCATCTCCATCATGGCCAGCTTCTGGCCAATACAGTTATACGGCCCTGTAATAAACGGCATGAATGCGCGTTTGTCGAGCAGGTGGGTAGAAGAAGCTTCGTCGGTCCAGCGTTCAGGCATGAATTTTAGCGGATCAGGAAAGTAGGCGGGATTGCGTTGGAGTGTGTGCATGGGCATCCAGACAAGGGTGTTGCCGGGAATATGAACGTGGTTGGGTAGGACGAGGCCCTCAGGGGGGGTTTCCCGTTGGACGCCGCTGGGGACCTGGGCAGTGTTAGTGACAGAGGGCTTGGAATCGAGATTCTGAGATATGCACATTCGTGATGAAAGAAGGAGGGATAAGCAAATGTTGAAAGCGAGGAGAAATTCTTACAGCAGGATGAAGTCTTAAAGCTTCATTGATGACGCCTTCTAGATGTGGACAATTTGCTACATCTTCGACTTCGAGGAAAGCCTTCTCGCCTGCGAGGTCGTCGACAACTTTTCGGAGCCTTTTTTGTACATCTAGGTTCTTGCACAGCTCGTAGAAAAGCCAGGTTAGAGTTGCAGCCGTGGTATCACTATGAACGTCCGTCAGTGTGAATCCAGGCGAAGAGATGGATAAAGGGGAGCGCATGCACATACCTTCCAGCCACGACAAGCAGACGAGTGTCCGCGTTGAGGTGCAGCGGTATATCTTCGTCATTAGGGTCGATAAGCCATCCGAAAACATCATTCTCTTTGGGTTGAGTCTTTCGATATTGTTAGCGGAACTGCCGCAAGTACTAAGTGGCTTTGGTGCTAAACCTTCTTCCTCTCCCTCAGAACTTGACTCGTCCATCTCATGAATACCATAATGTCTTCGACACCAACCGTCCGCATCAACAAGCTCATTGGCCAGTAGACATGGGTAAGTAAACTGACGGGTGCCATACTCTTGTGCAATTGCTCGATCAATATATCTTCTTTCCCCTTCTCCATCATTCCAAAACTGCGGCTAAATCCCACATCGCCCATGATGTCAAAGCTGTAGAAATTGATCCAGTTCGAGATTCGGAGTGCGGGTTCGGCGGCATGCTCCCTCAGCCTTTCTATTAGTGCCCGGCCATGCCGGTTTAGCCTGGGTTCGTACTCGCGTAGGGATTTGGCGTTAAATGCTCGCTCCCAGATCTTGCGGCGTTCCTTGTGGTCTCGTTTGTCGCGCGTTGTATGCAGCGAGGAGCCCTCAATGGCCTTCGAATTATCGTACCAGGAACCTTTGGTGCATCGACTCGTTGGGCCGTGGATCAATGAAATAGCGTCTGCGTTTGCGATGCTAAGTTCTCGGGGACCTGTGCGCACAATGTCGCCGTATTTCTCGTGCAACTTCTCGACCTGGAAATAGTACTGGCAGTCGGGGAGGACGAGACTAAGGCTGTAGAATTTAGAAAAGCGGGCAAGGAAGGGCCCAGGGAACTAGAATTGTTAGTGGAGTTTGTAGAAGGCATCTGGTTCGCTGCACCTTCCGTAGTCTGTGAAACAACCCTCGATAGAGGAGTATGCTTGTGAGCAATGCCGCGAAATACACAGTGGCGGTCAACCCAGATACTGCGAGGGCTTGGAAGATGCCATTGACGCGACTATCCGTTGCATACTCAGTCACCGTTGCGATACCGAAGGCGACCATCCACACTGAGAAAATAATATGTCCTTGATGGTCGGGTTCACCTTGCATGAGAAGGACATGGGAAACGAGGCCGAGAACAACGGCGAGAGATTTGTTGCGGATGAGCTCGTCCCACGGCGTTGATCGGACAATATTCATGATGCTACCAGAGGAGGCCATCTTCGAAGGCTGCCGGCAAATGGAGGGTGGAGGATACAGGGAAGGTTGAAATAAAAGCCGGGCCAGATCCCACGGAGGTGGTAAGACGGTCTTAATATATCTCTAGGACAAGCGCGGGCCCGACGTGCATATGGTAGTGGGGAAATGGTTTGGGCCTAGATCACAAGTGAGCACTAGGTAAGAGTGAGGAGAGATGAGACGTCTCACTTTTGCGAATTTAGTCCAACATTTGGGTTGTAGTTCTCCAAACTGGCGCAGCTTCCACCAACGACATGGTGTTTTTATCTGCGCAACCAACTAACAGCATTGACAACCGCTAGATTCGTTGGTAATAGCAACGCGCCACTAGCGGTCGATGCCGGGAAAGCCAAATATGCCTTTAACCACGATCCCTCCTATCAGCTAATGGTGGGCGGGGATAAATTGGCTCACGGGTGCCGACTCACAGTCTCCCAATGAAAGTAGCCCGAGAGCTGGTCGAGAGGTTCTAAGGGAAGAACTAGCGGCTACTCCTCCTGGAATCTTGAATGCTTAGTCTCGAAGATGCCGGCAGAAACTAGAGATGTATGATGCTAGGCGTCCAGTCAGAGGGTGAGCAAATCAAATCAAGGACTAATCCATTCTTAGACGTTGCGGTATAGGAGCCGAGCCAATGAAAACATGGGTAGCAAAATAGGTTTGATGAACATGGAGAGGCTGTGTTGAATAAAAGCATCCCGCATACATACCTTCAGGGCTTGAAATCGTGGTGACTTGAATTTTCCATCTCATCCTCGAGTGAACTTCAATTCCCTGACAATAACAGGGAATAAATTCAATACAGGTAGAGATAAGGGCTAACGCTTCTTTTTCGTCCGTCCGGCTCTCGCAAAAGTGCGAAAGCACGGGAATGTGGAGATGATTGGTGGGAGTGATACTTGACACATCCCTACTGGTTTAACATCAGCAAGTAAGACAGAAAGATAGCATGGGAGTTGTGCTTACGTTAAGCGTATATACATAGACAGACCTGTTGTCCTTGACAAATATTTAACTACACTAGAGCAAGAAAATAATGAGATCGCTGAGGTTGAAGGACACGACGGCTGAAGTAGTGGCGTCCAAAGTAAGTGGCATTGGTTGGCTCGAAGTGCAGACTAGATTTCATTGTTCGCCTGGACGATTGCAATGATCGTCTGACCCTGCAAATTCTAAATCGACATCTAGCCGCAAGAGGATCTTCTTTCCTCCCGCGCAAGGGGGTTCGACGACACCCTGGCGTGCTAGTCTTTGCTAGCATTAGAGCGCATTCAGCTCACAGAAGCATACAGTTCCCTGCCCAAACCCCTGCATACAATCTCCATTCTCCTTTTGGTTAGGAACAATTGTTTCCATCAACTCATCCAGTCTCTGGTCCTCCTCAATTTGCTCAGGTCGACTATCGCGATCCTGCCACTCCGTATCTTCAACATCTTTGTTATATTGTACTGAAGAGTCTCTGTAACCTTCTAATTCTGCCCCATACCGTGAGTCTGGCCAAAACATTCTGACGCGGAACATAATCGCAGTGCGTTCAAAAGTTTTCGACTTAACCGTTTCGTAGGCCGTCAAGGGCTTCAACATTTGATTTCGTATTTCTGTCGCGGCAGTCGCAAATCTCCGTATCAACGGCCGTGATGAAAACCAGTATAGCACTATACTATCTAGGTTCTTCGTGTCGAGTAAAGGGCCCAGCCACACTGGAGGAGGAACGGGCCACGCCTTCTCAAATGCTAGAGCAGGTTCAATGGCGCCAAAACCAGTAAGCAGCGGAGGGAACATGGAGTGTGTTTCAACAACAAGCCTGAGTCTACGCAGATGCATGGAAGGAGAACCGAGCATGGCGCAAAGCTTTGGATAATAGTCAGAGGCCATCCGTAGCTTCAAACCTCCAGGCTCGCAGCGAAGTGGATAATGATCTTTTCGATCATCGAGTCCATTATCTTCCAATACACCAAGCTCTAGAGAATGGATACAAGCAAGAGATTCGGGGGATCTGTCTTTGAGGAAGTGAAGTGCTGTAGGGATCCGAAAGTCGCTTCTGAATTTGAAGATATTCTTGCCATAGAAGATCTCACGAGCCTCATTGTAGGTTTGCCTGCAAACGTGCATAATTTGCAGGTTGAGACGAGGCGAGTTCGACACCAGCGCATCATGGTCGATGGGGGCCAGTTGATACGTCAGAAATATATCAACTGTCTGGGAATCAACTGTGCAGAGGTAGGTGTCTTCGATCGAAAATAGATCAACCTGATCGGAGGCTAGCGAAAAATCTCTCAGGCACTGTGTCCATGTGCTACGGGAACGAAACGGATGCCGAACAGGATTCTCCTCTCGGATTGATTGGCCAAGATTCGGTGTCTTGGTGCCATTGTCTATGGCGGGCGTAGCAGTGACTCCGCTTGCAATGGAAACGGAGCCATGCTCCAGGAGCTCACCATAGATCAGGTCGCGAATCTCCCGTGGGAGACCAAGCAAGGGGGGTAAGGGGGTATGGTTCAGTAACTGATCAAGATCCATGATCTGAAAGAAGAGTATCTCTGTCTCAAACGGACGAGAGCTCTTGTGGTGAAATTGTGAAGTGTCCAGGCAGCAATCGGGGGGGTTTCGGGCCGATTAGAACGCTATCGATAAGAGACTCTTAATAAGCGACCCCGGTCGGAGCCGCCTGATCCGATCTCAGCACTCTCTCCTTCACTTTGACCTTCACCATTACATAGCACAACAGATCTAGTAGCCTACCAGGAGTAGCAGCTTTGGTTGTTAAGCTTCTCCCCAGTCTCGGTAGTGAAGATGTGTTCCTCGCACTCTCCGAAGTCTCCCTTATTCACCTGTAGTCAGATCTTCTTCATGGGATCGGACGCAGACATCGCTTGAGTGGCAGTAAATTGTTCCTGTGCGGGCAAATGAATGTCTGCCTCTGTCTTCTTGTTGCTAGCCTTGAGGCAGGAGATTTAGGAGAGAATTTGCAACTTGTTAACATGCTTTGTAATTCCAGCAAGGTATTGAATGGGTAAAGATTTTACTACAGTCAACTCTCGATGGCGCGATGCGCGATTAAACGATATTTTGATATAGCAATACATTTCTCAAACCTAAATTAATTTCCCACTAAAATATTCTATTTTGCAATACCTACTATATTGCAAGCTTCTAGCTAGATTATTGTTATATTAAGAGATAAAATGCTATGTGTGGCAATTACTAATAAGCAGCAACAGGCTCTATGTTAATAGTATTAATGTTAGGGTCCTAGCTAAAGGCAGCTTAATGCAATTAAGTAGTTTAAGCAAGAGTACAACTATTGCATCTGTTAGTTAACAGTATTAGAGTCTCTTTTAGAGTAATATAGCTACCTTAACAGTAGCTCTGCTACTACCTGCACACATTAACAACAGGCACAGTAGCTTATTTTTAAAGCTGTTCTTTTTAACTAGCAGCAGCACCTTAAGAGCTCTAGCAGTAACGTCCCTAGCAATATTTTTATTAAGAAAGTAAAGGCTATCTAGCTGTAAATACCTAATTATGCTAACCTCTTTATACTAGAGTTTAGCTTAGGCTAGCTTACTAACTTTAAGTAACAGCATAATATTAAGCTTTATTAATACTAAGGTAAGGCTATGTTAGTGCTAGCTAGGGCTAAAGAGGAGATAAGGGCTATTAGAACACTATGTAGAGAATACACAGAGTAAGATATATTTAATATAGACAAAACAGGCCTATATTAGCAGTAAGCGCTATTATTAGAGCTTTTTACTAAAGCTTAACTTAGTAAAAAGAAGGATAAAAACTAAATATTAATTATATACTACTATAACTTTACTAGCAGTAAGCGCTTTACTTTTTAAGCTATTAGGAAAGTAGCTAGACTATATACTTTATAATCTATTAACTTTAAAGCTCTTAGCATTTAATAGTTATTAAATCCTAAGGCGTAGATAATATATACTATTATAATAGATTAGCTATAGGCTTTTTATTAGTAGATAAGAGAGACTAGGTCTATTCTACTGCTAATAGACAACTACAGCGCTTATATTCTTAGCGTTAATTTTAAACTACCTTTACTAAATATTTGCATTTAATAGCTACCTGCTAACTTAACTAGCGTCTACTAGCTACTTAATTAAGGTGTAATTAGTTAGTTTAAGCGCTTATATAAAAAGTAATAAATACGCTATATAGTTGCTAGCTATAAGCGTAGTGTAGATCTAGCAACTTAAGTTAACCTTTACTATGCCTTACGCTAGGCCTCTTAAGCCTAGTATAATAACTTTTAGAGTAATATAATTTATTACTACTTCTGCTAAGCTAAGATCTAGCCTTTATAAGAACTAATTTACCTGCCTAATTTAAAGAAGTAGTCTTAGCAGGAGCTAAAGGAGCTCTACTAGTAGGTGCAGCACATAGGCAGGATTTAGAACACTATAAGCCTTAAAAACTTCCTAAATCTTATTAATAAAAATTATAAGCCTACTTAATTTAACTTTAATGTAGTAAATGTAATTATAATATATAGCTAGCAGCTAGTTAAAGACAAATTAGATAATAAAAGGCCTTTTATATAAATACTTACCCCTACATAGGCAGAGCAGGCTCTTAAATTACTACTCTTATATTAAGAGCATACAAATTTAACAACTCCCTAGCAGATCAGAGCGCTCTAGCAGCTATATACTAAAGCAAAGGCTTAAAAGTCTAAGCAGTTTGTCTAGAGCACTCTAGATAGTTAGATTACGTAACCCTCTTGCTGTAACAATATTGCAATATAATAATTAGAGTTGTTAATAATTAATCCTATTAATCTAGATTAATTAGACAGCTTAATTATTTAATCTGTTTACAATTAATCTAGGCCTAGCTGTTTTATTAATTAATTAATCTAAATCTAACAGATTAATTAGACAGATTAATAAAATACTATTTTTATACTATTGCTTATAGGATAGATACTTAGTAATACTGTCTATAGTGTTAAGTTTCTAGGGACTAAATCTAGAGCTTTTATTAGCCTACTAAGTAAGACTAGCGTAATTTCTTAACTCCTTAAACCTTAACACTATAAGTGTCTCTATTATATACTGCAGCTATCTTTACTACCCTTACTATTAAATATCTATCTTTACAATGCTTAAATCTTTATTAGAGGCATAAACTATAACTTTTTTTAGGCCTTTAAACACTGCGTTAGTTAGGTTAACTTATAGAGCACTAACATAAAGCCTGTAAGTAATGTTGTAATAGATGCTAATACTAATACTAACGTATACAGCAACCTAACACCTACGCCTACTCCTACCCTAGGCCTGCTAGCTATTAATTTAAATGTAGCTTATAAGGGTATTATATAGACGCGCATTTTTACTTATTATAAGCCCCTATTTAAACCTAAGCGCAAGTTAGAGAGCTAGGTGTAGTAGTATAGTTATTAGGTGTATTACAGCCCCTTACAAACACTCTACTAGCTCTGCAAGTACTGCTACTGCTGCTGTACAATTAGCAGAGTCTATTAGGCCAGCATGTTAATGTTAGCTATTGCCTAGCATCTAGGGCAGGATATACTAGGGCACTAGCTTAAAAAAACAGGCGTTAAAACTAGCCCTAAGATCCTGCCTAGTTAACTTATAATAATAGCCTAGTTATAAGCGCAAGGCCTTTAGGTGTCTTAGGGCGTTATAAATATAATAGTAGACTTCTTTAATAAAGACGTGTTTTAATATGCAGTGCTTAATTAAGTTATTACAGATAATTAAGCTTTATGTGTAATTAAGACTTTAAACTTCTAGGCTATAATATAAGCTACTAACCTGCTAGCTAATAGATATCTCTAGGCTAGCTAGCAGAGCTTGCGCAACTGTATAATTGCTAAGTACGTTGCCTACATGCCTACTATAATTAATTACCTAAAGGCGTTGCAATCTCTAATACATATCTTATTTAATAATTAAATGTTAACTAGCAGCAAGATAGCTATTACAGGTATATACATACACTATATTAACGCTGCTAGGGTCCTCTAGGACTACGTCCTTAGGCTTCTAAGCTTAATAGGCTTCTATATAAGTAATAATATTACCTTAGTTATTAATAATATGTTAAAAGCTTTTTAAATTACTAAGAATACACTTAGTTACTTTATTCTTAATAATGCTACTAATAATAACACTACTGTTAAAGCTTTAGCTGCCTTGTATAGCTTTAACTTACAGCACTAATAACTATGTTACTTATGCTATATTATTAACCTAGAGGCCTAGAAATTACTATTTAGCAAAGACTATAACACCTTTTAAAACTCTAATGCTAATATCCCTAGTAAGAAGAAGTTTATAGAGAAGTAGTGTAAGAGAGGCCTTCTTAAAGTTTTATATAATGTTTTAGTATTAATATGTACGCTTTAAGCCTATTAACTTCTTTAACACTACTAGCTTAAGTATTAAGACTTTAGAGAGCTTATAATGCTTTAAAAGGTTATTAAGCCTATTAAGACTTAGTAGAACTTTTATTACTTATCTTTTAAAAAAGCTATTAAGCTCTGCAACTCTTTTAGAGACTACATTATATATAAAATTAATAAGTATAATTAAAAGCTAGCTAGGTGTTGCAATAATGTCTCTTACAAAAAGCTATGTTTTTTTATCTAAAAAAAAGGACTAACAACAAAAGACTAGGTAACAATTACAGAGTACATATAGCTACTGCTACTCTTTAAGGAAGTAACATCCTTCTTTAAAGAAAGAGGTAGGTTAAGTATGTTTAGAGCTATATAAAAAGTTCTCTTAATGTTTAACTAGCTAGTTAATACTATTAAGAATATAAAAAAGTAACTTGCTAATGTTAATTTTAATAATTCTAACACTTTAAAGGACTATGTTTTAATTAATTACATAGTAGCTTTATTAAAGCTTTTAATGTATTACGCTAAGCTAGCTAAGTCTCTAGCGTATTATATTATAGCCTAGTTACACTTAGCTTATAAGGATTACTTTAATAGTGCATAGCTAGTCCCTAAGAACTACAACAGCGCCTTGTATAGTAACTACCCTTAGTAGGGGTGGTTAGACAAAGCCTACTAGGGGTTTTAGCTACTCTAGAAAGCCTATAAGGACTCTACGCACGTCACCCCCCTAGATCTAATGCCCCCCCTAAAAAAGCCCTAGACATCTTACAGAGCTAGTTACGCTAATTTTATAAAAGCTGCCTACTAGCAAGTAGCAGAGACTACCTAATATAATAACAATAAGTTTAATTACTAAGTTAAGAAGCTCTTTCTAGATAAAAGCAACTTATTAGCTAAAAATCTATTAAAGTACTAAGTAACTAAGAGTAAGCACTATCCTACTCTATTAAGCTTTGCCTTTAACATACTAAGTATCCTAGTAGTAGCAGCTAACTGTAAGAGGACCTTCTTAGAGCTTAGAGACTTACTTAAAGTACAGAGACTATGTATAAAGCTAGATCTACTATTAGCTCTACAGAGTCTTAAAAGCTAGAAGAGATTAGGCCTTAAGCCTTAAAAACTAATTTCTACAAGGCCTATTATCCCTCTAAGCCACTTACTAAGCCAGCTAGCAACGTTGTTTAACATTAGTAACTTTAAATTTAATAGAGATTAATTATGTAAAGGGTTAATTTACTATTTATATATATTATTAATCTAATCTGTCTAATTAATCTGCCTAGAGCTTATTAATCTGTCTAATTAATCCGCAGACGTAAAGTTATCAATTAATCAATCCACCGTCAGGTGGATTGATTGGATTGATTGTTAACAACTCTGATAACAATATAATCCTTGTTCCAGAATTGTATCGCGCCATCGAGAGTTGACTGTATCACTACAACCCGCGTTGTGTGGTAACCTACTATAGTAAATATTGTTGGATTGTACTATCAATAGAACGAGTGACTAACGATAGGAGCTACCAAACATCAGGTCAATGATAGGTATACCTAGATAGCTGAACACCCAACTCACAAGCTATGGCCTAATTTCACCCAATGTGGTATAATGCCGCCAAAACAAATTCTGATATAGATCTTGTAGCAAAATTCTTTGTCCATTTCCCCATCCAAAAAGGAACAAATTACAAGCATACACACGGAATATCAATGTAGAAATGCAAGAAAGTCAGGCTTACCACCTTGTAAACAGTTACCTCCTCTATATCATGGAAGATATTCTGGGTAGGAATCATCCCAACTTAGTTGGTGCATAGATTGTTAGTCTTGCAAGCACAAGTCCAGCCTACGAGTAGGCACGCATCTCAAACAGCTAGTATTACGCCCCAATCTTCACACAAGCACCTTCGGTTCTGACACGGAGTATGATAGAGAGAACAATTAGTAGACAACCGTGCGTATACAATGAAGAGCATACAGTTAACATATACCTACTCCTTGGAAGGCCTGATACATGCTGGCTCCCATTTGCATGCTTCGTTAAGCCGCAAAACGAACTAGAAGTTGCCGCGATCTTGAAATTTGCTACGCATATAGAGGCGGAATTTGGCATTATAAGCGGTGGAATCAATGCCAATGCTGGGTTTGGCAACGCCGATGAGACTACAACGCTTATCGATCTTCAAGACCTCTAAGTTCTCATCTTGTACCAGGATGGGTTAGTGAGCGTTGAAGCTAGAAACCGCTGGAAGAAAATATACAGCTTTCTGAACGGTCATGACCTAGGTACTACGGGTGGACAACATAACGAAAGCAAAGGTAGATGGAGGATAGAGGAGATGTCAATTAGGTAGCGATAACTAGGTGAATTGAGCGGTAGTGTAAGGCCTGAGGAGCTCGGGACAGTTCCGAGATGAATACGCGGTAACAAAAACGAGCTAGTCTAAATGAGAGACTAGTCAGTCGCATGGATGCAGCATAACGTGCGACAAATCCTAAATTTGTAGATTGGTTCACCCATTGACCTAGGAGGCACGTCATTTCTCTCCAATTTGTATGACCTAGGTGCAGATAATGTTGAAACTTCGGAGGGCAATACAGCTCGCCATTTTCCCACGCCGGTGGTTGACCATGTGGAATTGCGTGTCTTCTTGCCCTCTAGTTACGGACAAAAAAGTAATAGTGTGAAAAACAAGTCAAAGGAGCTTGAGAAGGCAGAGAGCGATCAAAACCCCAGTGCGGTGGCTGACCGGCGATATCTTGTGGCTGGCTGGGAGTTTGAACGCTTCCGAGGCCGATGCGATCGGACATGGCGCTGCAGATCGTTCTTGGCTCGCTATGGCCCGCATCTTGGGAGCCGTCCTCCCTTGCACAAGACAGCCCAGCTCCAGATGTCCTGGGCTTGCTCTAAGAAAAAATCCCTTTTTTTTTTTCCTAATGCAGTACAACTCCTGCTCGATTTAATGCGCTGACTTTATCAACAAATGGTCCTTTAGCAAATTCTGTAAGATCTACATGACATCATTCTCTCTCTAGGCAGCGTCTGTTAGGCCCTGCCTGCCCTTCACCGGTCCTGCAACCTCGCTTCCAGCCTTACTCTCCTTAGGTCCCTTCTTTCTTCACCAAAGGAATATCTATCAGGTGGGATGTGTAGGTCTGGAGAATTTTAATTCTGCTACGGCTTTGGCTGGGACTCCTTGGCTGACTACCTCTTTGGTCACCAGGTACAAAGCGTTTCGAAAGACAAAAGGGTCAGAATACAGGTCCGTTCCTTGACGAGTTGGTGGCTCAGCCTATCCAGCGAACAGACGATGGGAACGCATGGCCGATAGGGGATTTTGAGTGATTAGCAGTGACTACGCAGTCCATAATGTGGTAGATACTCTCGCGCGAGGTACTGATGCGATGGAACATGAGCTGAAAATCTTTGATCTAAAAGTTTCGTGCACTGGAAGGCTTCAGCTGGAGGGCGCCACATGCATGTGTGCCAAGGCAGATCTCGTATTGAGCAAGTGGCCAAGGCTACCTCCGAGGATGGAGAAAAGTGCTTGGAATGACGATACAGTGACACCTATCGAGCCTTGTCGAACAAATTCACCTTCTCGCGGAAGTTGCGGCGGCATCAGATATGCGTTCTGCGGCAGGAAATCGTGCCGACGATGCCCAGATGCAGGGCCCTTCTCAGGAGGTAACAGCTACATCATCTCGTTTTCCCCTCGGGGCAGGACATCACATCCATGACCAGAATATTAGCGGAAACGCTAGGGTTTTGAATGGAGATATATATAATTTTAGTAAGTAACTATGTGAAACCTCAATTTCAGAGCAACGACACTTATACGGCCATCTAGTACTTCCTGACGACATTGCGAAAGAGGCCGCCGGCTTGTCCAAAGTGATGAATGAGGCCGAGACGGCTTGCAAAGCGCTTTATGAACTGATTGGTAGTGCAAAAAACGTCCCTTGTGACATCAATCTCATTTCACGCGATCTCGAAGATTTGCACGCCATCTTAGGCACAATCGGAGCGCTTTTGAACGACGAGGGCTCTAAAGAAAGTATTGTTTGGGCTGCACTATTGGACAATCTGTCCAGCGTTGTCGACTCAAATTTGTCTGTGTTTGCGGACCTCACAACACGAATTCAGACACTAAAACCTGATGATGATAGCCCGACAAAGACTGGAAAGACTGGGAAGACCGGGAAAGAACCGTCGCGAGGCGATTCAACGAGTAACGAAGTGGAGACTCTTCGGCGCGTTTTGATGTCTAATAAGATGACATTAAATTTGGCAATATCCATGGCAAGCTAGTGAGTTATCCGCGTATTATTCAATAGACTACAGTAGTCTAATGCGCCGTCAGCTACCAGAATAATTGGGCGATGAATGCAATAGCAGAGTATCGTGCAGAGTTGAAGATTGTCTTACAGCTCCTCGAAGACGAAAAGGCTGCGCGGATTCCACCATCCCAACCTCACACATGCATTGATCGTGCTATCGTGAGCGAAGATCGCGGACTTACCCTGCGACGCTATTTTGATGATGATGGTTCACTCTTCTCGAAGACTACCCTGCAACCTCCGCCGAGCATGCAAGTCAGCACATATCTTGAATCTCTTTACTTTGGAACCGAACAGACATTTATCACCGCAAGGACACATCTGGCTTTAAGGAAGTGCACTCAAGTCTTCATCAAAGGCATTCCTTCCATTAGGAACTCCATTACCCTCCGTGTATCGCCTGTCGATACGATCCTGACCATCAAAGATGAGGTACGGAAAAGAATTGAGCTTCCTAATGCCAACTTTCAGCTTGTATACTGCGGTCGGGTCCTCAACAAAACCAGCGCAACACTGGAAAGACATAAAGTGTTACATGATTCGACACTCATTTGTGTTTCGTTCCGGCCAGATGGTTACGAACCAGGCGCGTGGAGTGGACCTCGCATTTGCTTGGTGAGGATTAAGGATAAATCTGGAGTCGCTACAGACCTACATTTTGATACTGGTAGAGATATTCTTGTTCAGGATGTTAAGCGCCGATACGCTGAAGAAGCCAATCACCATACCAACACCATACTTATCTATGACGGAAAGCCTTTATTGGAAGATGACATGCCGTTGACGCTAGAGAGGTTCACACGGAGCTACGGGGTCTGCGAGTTTCATGTCGTAGATAAGTTAAGAGTGCCAGATATTCCAACCATGGGTTTACGGTCACTTCGCCCCTTTCGCAGGCCTAGATTTTGGGAATGACTCAATGGCTTGGATGGAGTTGTGAGACAACCGAAGACAAAGGATCGGATAACCTCCCTCGGCTCACAGAGGTGGTGGAGGAGGTGGAGGAGTGTAGCGTAGGGAACTTGGATCGTCCGTTACTGAGGATGCTAACTTTCTATTCTTATATAGATGAAATGTCGGGGGACTTTGTCCTAGGGACCCTTGAGATTCTAAATGGATTTAGAAAAGCGAAGTATAAGTCGGCTCTACGAGAAAACTGCGAGGAATCCATGAGGATAAGTGTTGGCACGTGTTTCAAGCTTCAGCGGATCGATGTATGTAGTATACAAATATATGCAATAATTTTCCCTAGTCATTTGTTTGTACTTGCCCTGCCCTTGCGAAGAAGCGCCCGATGCATAGAATATGCATCATCCTTCCTCTCAATGGAGTAGGGGTGGGATAACGGGGACCTTGAAGCGGGGATCTGGGAGCGGGAATCTGGAAGCGTGGATCAAGAAGCGTAGATCTGGAAGCATGGCTGCATGACCTGCCACGCCCCTCCTGTCACACCAAACAGCAGCTCAGTCGATGCCCAGAGAGGATTGGCTTAGCGAACTGCCAAGGCGGATGATCCACCTCGCTGACACGTCAGTCTAGTTGGTGGGGCGACGGGCCTGGGGTATCTAATGCGCTCTACAGTACCTTAGTTTTGTTATACCTATTGCTACTTTGCAGAGCATCTATCCCATGGCAGACCCTCTAAGCGTCACTTCCAGTATCATCGCGATTGCTACGCTAGCATATTCCAGCGCCAAGGCACTGCACGAAACCATTTCCAGCATTCGCGATGCTCCGGAAGTCTTCGTATACTTGAAAACCGACGTTGAAACGCTCTGCAAAACTATCCATTCCTTGCAACAGGAAGTCGGAAAGAAAGCCACTGATGCAGCTTTCTCTAATGCGCAGATATCGAACCTACGCGAGATAGAGCCCGCCCTCCAAGCGTGCCGTTCAGCTTGCGATGACTTCAGTGGCAAGGTCAATGGACTTACGCGTCACTCCAAGGACGGCAACACAAGTTTGAGGGATAGGTTCATGTTGCAGTTTCATGACAAGGATATTAGAGCATTTCAAGCACTATTGGGAAGCTACAAATCAACGCTTGCTATCGCCCTCGAGTTCTGCACCTTGTGAGATTAGCCCCCACTCCAAATTGCATGAAACCTAACCATGCTGCAAAGCAAAACTTCTTCCGAAAACCTCGATGCCACCAGAAACCTCGAAACGAAAATTGAGGACTTAACTGCTCGCCTCACAGGCCAAATGCAAGGCCTCCAAATAGGCCTGCAAACATTCCTTGATTCCAGTGCTACAGGCCACAAGTCGATAATAGCAGACGATCAGCGCAAGCTCGCGGAAGCGCAAGAGTCGAGAGTGTTGCAGGCAATCGAACAGCGGAACACGGCCCTCAAGCACTGCTACCGAGCTTGTATGGCGGTGTTCAAAGAAACAACAAATGTGACAGGGCATACATACAAATATATGACAGCATCAGAGGAGTCGAAGTTTCTCATGGGTGATTTGGGCAACGTGCAGGGAGGTGCGAAGCACACTTACGAGAAAATCAATGCAACGGGTAAAGCGTGGGTGGTTACAGGAAATATGGATGGCGCATCTGCGGCAAACTTTTTTAAGTAAATTCAAGAAGACCTGTTGTCTTTCATGTCCAATTCTATCATGACAACAGATAAAACTAATCTTTCTGGCCGCCTTAATTATTAGCATTCAACATGTGGCCAAGGCTGTTGTAATAGGTTTCCCATTGAGCCCTATCTTGGGGTACTACACCTAACTCATCGCCCATACTTTGCCCGAGGATTTCGCTCCATCCGAACTTCGTAACGCCTAGAATGTCCCTCAGCCCGTCCCTCCAACCCACCTGCTATTATTCCCACCCTTGCTTTTGTTTGAGAAGACATGACCATTAAGCTGACGGGCATTCCCCGATGCTTCATTGTTTCTCCAGGTACCGCGATTTCCACCCGAAGAGTCGTAGAACTCAGAGCCATTGTGCTGACGGCCTCCGTCAGCCTTGCAGGCCTCCCACTCACCATCGTTTCCACCAGAAGAATGATAGTACGAATGTCCATTCCTCTGAGCGCCGTTCGCGCCTGTGGTATTGTCCACCCATGTGCCACTGTCTCCGCCAATCGAATATTCAAATGTCATACCGTTTTGCTGGACTTGACCATTCTCTGCCCTGAAAGATTTCCAGTAACCTTCATCTCCTCCTCTGGCGTTATTGAATCTATGTCCATTTTGTTCATTAATATTACGTGCACTTGGAAACCCTCCCTCCGTATAATAGTAGTCGTTCTGTTGCACTGCCAGGACTTAGAACAACTCGGAGGAGCTTTGAACGGCCTACGTACAGTTGTGATTAAGGACGGGCATTGTGCCAAGGTCGGAAGAGCGGGATACAAGTGGCTGATTGGAGGTATGTGGGATGAGGAGGAGCTGGTCAGTTGTAGGATCGGAGCCCATATTGGTCAATCGTTCGCCCTCAAGGTTGGTCAGTTCGGTTTCAAGCTTATTGATGGACCAGGAAGGAAGAGCTTCACATGCTTACCTCAGGTTCACCGATCACCTCAGGATCGTTTTCTGCTATCAGAACGGCTGACTGAGTTGGTCTGGGCATCGTGGCTCTCTGGAAATCCATCAACGCAGTGCTTTGACCTTCTAGGCGGGGTTTTTTTGCAGGGGTTTGATATACAGAAGCCCGGGTGGTGGGAGCTAGTAGCGAAATCGAATTCAGTGTAACTAATGGAACAGCATCCAGCGGTCGTGTCTATACAAGGACCTGTTTATATGCGAGCAGAGAACCACGGCGACCCACTTCAGCTCAGCCTTGGCGGTCATTCAGCGCGCCACCTTCGTCATCATCACGTGAAACTCTTGGCAGGCCAAGTGTTTATAGAGTCGACTCTAACGTGCATCCCTGCGTAGCGAGACACCCTATTACCTATGTGCGAGACATGTAACGAGGTAGGCACGGTCAACCACGTGGCCTTCTCTCACTTATAGAGGTTTAGGCTAGACTAGAAAATAATCTGCTATAGCTAATTCTAGACATCTATAATCCGCTCTTCCCTAGAAACTATGTTTGTATTGTTGCCTCCAGGCTTAATTTATACAGCACCTTCTTGTAATGAGGTAGGCGCCTGTCACGGTTAACTTGGACATGCCTCGGACTCCCCGGAGAGCCCTCGGCCCGGCCTTTGGCACATGACGTCCCGTCACGTGCCCCAGCACATATATATATATATATCCTCTCACGAATATCCTCTCACGAACCCCTGAGTCTCCTCAAGGATTCGTCTATCAATACTATCCTTTACCCCTTTCTGCGCTTCATGCTTCCTGCTTCACAGTGCTCTCACAGCGCCCTGCCTGCAAAATCGATACTATACGACTTTCCCTACTGTACAGTCGCCTACCAAAAGTCATTAGCCACCTAGCAATCCGAGCTCTGCAGGGGTATAGTCAACCTATTGGGGAAGGAGGTTACTTAGTTAATTGTTAACTAAATTTAAAGATTTTTATTTCTATACAAAGCTTATATACAGGCCTGTCTTTTAGTGCTGTGCTTAGTTAATAGTAAGTTAATCTACCTTTGTTTTAGACAACTTCCTTTATGCGCTTTAACAAACTAAGGATACACTTCCTATAATTAGCTAGTGTAATTTTTGCCTACTTCTTTTTAAGGATATCTACTATCTGCTTGCAAGTAGTAATATATTCTTGTTGCTTTAAGATGTAGAGCTTTATAATCTGCTAAAGGTTCTTAATTAAGTTTAAATTAGGACTTTGTAGAGGCTAATCTATCTGTATTATGCTATAGTTATCTATATACTTTTAGGTAGCCTTTGTAGTGTGAATAGGTGCTCCATCCTGCATTTATATGCTAATACCGCGTTCCTCTGTAAGCTGCTAATAAAATGGGATACTAACATTATGTAAAATCTAGCAGTATTTGCTAGCATTATTGCGCTTACCTTCCTTGTTAATAAACAGCTCTAATTTAAAATTAAGAGAGATTACACTAAATATAGAGACTGTAGTTCTTCTAGACTTAAAGGTAGGCTTTAGGTACTAACTCTTATATGCTTTTCTATGCTGCTAACGTACATATAGAGGTGTAGTGTCTAATCTAACTTTAAATGTTGCTTTATTATAAAAGGCTACGCAAGCTACGTTTTTTGCCTTGTTATATTAATAAGTTTAAGCAAATTAGAGTTACTTTTCTTTATATATAGCTAACAACTAAGGCTTGCGACGCAGGCAGAAGGCGTAGTACTTATGTTTTGTAAGGTATCTCCTTGCAGTACTAGTATAAATGCAGCAGTAGGTCTTTAATAGTGTTGTAATAGTTTAGAGCGTAGTAAAGGGATTATTTACTGCCTAGCAAATTAAATGCCTCTTAGCGCGTTTGTTAAGCTTTAAAGGTTAGCCTGTACACAGAGCTTTTGTATAGGTAGGCAGGGGCTGCTTGCGCAGCCGGCAGATGTTGTATGTAACTGTCGACTTAGGAATGCTAAGATGACGTGAGATTTTGCTAGCGCTCACGCTGTAGAGGTGGAATTGCTATATTGTATTAACAGATAATTTAGATAGCTCTTTACAAGAGGTTTTATTTGCTTTTGTAACTATTAAAAAAGGTGGTAATTTGATTAAGTTACATTTAATTAAAATCTGACCATTGTGGGGTGGCCCAGACCTCTCGCTAAAGTGGCCAATGACTTTTGGTAGGCGACTGTACCAAAAGGTACGCACGAGAACACTTAGCTTAAGTATTCTCGCATAGTATAATATATATATAGATAATGCTAGGGCTAGCACTAGCACTAGCGGTTGCCTCTCGTCTAGCCTAACCTCTATAAGCGAGAGAAGGTCACGTGGTTGACCGTGCCTACCTCGTTACACTTCTTTTATAGCGTGACAGATTCCCCTCCCCACAACGCCAACGTTAAGCCTTTATTGCTCTAAATTTTTGTAGAATAGCCTTGTCTAAGCCTTAGAACCTCCCCCTAGCGCTAGGAAGTCATCATCAGCGTATGCGCTGCAGGACGCAACTTTATGCAGGGTCGCCATGTTGATTGGTGTAACGATTTGCATGAACCGTTCCATCTCGGGTTGCCCGACGAACCGATATCCGAAGGCTCCTCGTATCTGCTCCGACTCTGCCCTGGCCCCCTAAGTATTTAGTCGCACCTCTCCCCTTGACTAGCTCGATAGTTTTCTGATATCCTTCCGTACAAGGCCTATAGGTGTTAATGGAATTCCCAGGTTTCTGAGTCCCCACGCACTCCCATATGCCTCTGAGTGGATTCACACCGCATTCGGACCCGTTGTCTTGCCTGTGCCGTTACAATTGGTCCCTCTGGCGGAAGCGATCACCATCGATCCTGGCTAATGCGAAGTGACCCTGCACGTCTCACCTCATACATCCGCGAGTGATTTACTGTAATATATGTGGCTGTGTGGATTGCACAAGCACTTGGAATATTGTTGAATCCGGCTCAGGATTGGGAGCAGTGCTCGGACTAGCCGACATGGCACTAGTTTAGTCAGCCTTGAAACCAGCTTTGACACAGCTATCCTAGAACTTTGAGATGTGGTTTAACGCGCCAACGATACCTACATTTGTAACGTGGAGACATACCATCACGTCACCCTCGAGCGCCGAAGTTCACCATTGTTCTCTCCGCTGGCCGAACGAAAGACCTGATCAAGCCCACCACGTCCTTGTGCTTCTCGAGCCCACTATCGCTGATTCCTAGGCCAAGCAGCAGCCGAGAGCTAGGCTCAGCTCGTTGAAGGGGAACACAATGAGATAGGAGGGGTATAAGATAAGATAGAGTTGGGTGGCCCTGGAAATCGAAGCCTGCGCTTTGGCAAGCGGGTTGAGTGGCACTGGCAGAACGCCGTTGTTGCAAGCATATGCGAAGGTGTTATCTCAGCTAGCTCAGCCGGCTGATGAGAGAACCGACAACGCACATACCACCATGCATACTGCTACTCCTAACGGAGTATAACCCAGGGTTAGTGGTTTCAAACCCCTGCAACTAACGTTTTCTCTCATCAGCTGTCTGAGGGACTTTGGTGATTTTTTGTGTACACGACTGATTTCAACTGCTTAAGGATGAAGACGCGATTTTAGATAGTACAATAGGTATATTATACACAGACTCTAAAAGTTGATACAACGCGCGAAACTCTAGTAAGAACATTATAAGCATATTTTAAATAGGATCTAACAATGTCTAGGGCAATTTAAATCTATCCGCGCGCGTGACGCGACCTTTTCTACGACTAATTTCACGCGTTACTTTAAACCCCCCCCCCCTCTTATTATCCACGCCTATGTATTGCAAGGCACTTATATTTTAGGCGCTATTTGTCTTTGCTATTGCAAACTACCTCTAGCTTCTAGATCTGCTAATTTTGTCCTGTGCGTATAGTTCTATTGCGGTGGGCGAAACAGTACTAACGCTTGCGCAGTAAGCAGTTTAGACACTAAATATTGTAAGTATCTTCCTACATATTGTCTATGTGTTTGTTTACGCACCTTTTAATGCGTACTGCTGATTATTTGCTGTAGTAGCTACCATGCGGACTAGAGGGCCAGGTTGGCGCGCAGGGAATCGGGGTTTAGGTAGGAGGCCAGCATGAGTACGGCTTGCGCCAAGTCTTCTAGCTGTCTGCTTAGGAGAGACCACTTATTTAGTGCTAGATAAGGACTATGCAGCGCTGAATTAAGTATACAGACTAGCTAGCGTAATGCTTTCTTGTGTTAAAGCCTGTCATACTCTAAGTGCTGATGCCCTGCGGGATTTAGTATATAAGTGTTCTACAGAGTGTAACGTCTAGTATTAAACGCTATTGCTTACTTAGGCCATGCAGAAGTTGTTAGGCAGTAGGGAGCCACACAAGCAGCAGGTGCGCGCTGTCTGTTAGCTTGTGTATAGCCTTAGGGATACAATTCTTGTAGCCTACACTAGCTTTAGAAAGAGCATTGTTTTGCATGCGTATTCTGTGTTTACAGGCAACATTACGCTCTAGATTATACTACTGTTAAAGCTAGAAGATAAGCAGTTTAAAGCAATCTACCAGTATCCTAAAGCGCGTCTGTGTCTAGTTACTAAACAAATAAAGGATGCTAACCTAAAAATATTCTAGAAGATCTGGCAGCTTCTATACACTTATATTTTACTAGGTCTAGAGTAGGCTGCATTGCCAGCGTTCTAACAGCTGTTCACTAACACTATATTCTATGCTTAGGTTAGGTTAGTAGCATTAGACAAGTGCTATGTTATATGACAGTAGAAAGATTTCTAGAAAGAGTATTTGCAGTTCTACAAGCTCTAGCAGTGTTTGTCTCCTAACGCGATGTTCTTTGCTTGTACTGCTACGTTTGACAAGCAGACAGAAGAGGCGGTACGCTGTTTTAGTGGCTTTAGGCCAGAGGGTCCAGGGATGGGTAATAATCTGATAGGCAGCCTAGAGGTAATTAGGACGTGCGTAGATCGCCCTGAGATTGCGTACGCCATTATTCTAATTAATGATCGCAGTAAGAGCACGTATGCTTAGCTCTTGCGTATTGTTGATTGTGGGTTTAGTACTGCTAGTTCTCCTGGCGACCCAAAGCTTATCCTAAAGACGTGCGTGTTTATTAACAGTCGCACCTATATTGCTAACCTTACAGGGCTCCTCCAATCTTGTCTTGTGTCGGATGGACACTACTCCATGGCAGATGCCAAGAAGGTAGTCCAGGCGTATACTAGTTGGGTTGCAGACGCGGACTAGCGGGAGATATATTAAAATTTTAAAGGCGCTAATGCCTCTATCTGGATTGTTGTCTGTACAACTGCGCTTAGGATAGGTATAGATATCTCTAGAATTAAGCGGGTATACTAATAGGACATCCTAATTACCTGGGATATAAGCGATCTGATGCAGCAGTTTAGTTGTAGCGCGCGTGGTTGTGGTGAGACTGCAGTTGCTATATTGTTTGTCCCTTTCTATGCGTTTAACTGTCTTAGCACTGATCTAGATGCAAGTGATGGACAGGCTAGCAGCTGGGTAAAGTGAAAGACAAAGGGGAGGCAACCTGCAAAGGCAAAGGATTGTTATAAGATAAAGCCCTCCACATTAAGGTAGATGATGACTATAACGTTGCTAGATCAGGCATCTGCTAGTGGTAGTCAGACGCCTGTTACTCCTGCTGTAACACCTCTGCCTAGGTCTACGCCCCTACACAATAAACCTAAATTGGAGGCTGCAGAAGAGGGGGTTAAGAGCACTTTAGCTAATTTGTGGAATCGTGTGGTCGCATTTTAGTATAACAGACGCAAAGGTAGACCCCCTAATTAGACAAATAAACAGCTAAACTAACAGGCTGGCATTAAGCCTAAGTGGCGGGACCTAATTAACTCTAAGTGTTATTGTAGGCACTTGCTCTAGTATTTCTAAAATAACCTGTCTATACAATTAACGCGGCGACCTTTTCTAGAAAAGGTCGCCTGTTGCACAGGTTGCAATCTAGCACTTGTGCTATATTAGAGCGCCTCGCCTCCGCCTGCCAAAGAGACCGCGCTAACGCTAAAGAGCAAAGCTAGCCTTGCGTTGCAGCATATCTAGAAGATATGTTAGGCATCTGCTCTTTAGTACTTTCTAAAGGTCTATAGTGTGTCTAAGGATAATGTTTTAGTCCTGCCTCTATCTTTAGTGTTTCTTCTATACCTAAACTAATAGAAGCTAGCAAGGCTTGTTGCTAGACAGAAGGATATTAAGAGTAACAGAGTTGCAGTGCTTATTAAGTCTAGCAGGTATAGCACTAGTGGTGTACAGGATTGTCTGCTATTAGACTAGGAGTTTATAGAGTTGCATCTGGCATTTGTTAAGAGTAAGTTTAAGCGTATTATGCTTGCAGTACAGAGCGAGTTTTGCAAAAACGACGCGCTCCCTAGGACAGGCAACGTCTCTAGGTCGCTGGGTATACACGATGCTACTGGGGCCTTGTTAGGTAGTTGTATGCGAGATAACAGTCTAGCTGTGCAGGCTACGCAACACAGATATCGCCAGCGACAGAACTAGTTAGAGCGATATGGTCTGCCCCTTGAACTAGTTATAATTAATGCGTTGTTTAAGTCTGCAGTGTTAACTATAGTACTAGAGTTGCTATTTAATAACAACCTTCCTCTACAGGACAATCTTTTGCCTAGTAATATTTCTAGTTATTAAGGCAGTTCTTCTACAGTTGTAGCACACCTCTCTAGTCTAAATAGTTTGTTCGCAGCAGCCTCTGCTGCGTTTAGCGTACCATACTCACCAGGTGTGGAGTTGTATATGTCGCCGAGGGACAGGCGACGCGCAGCTGTAATTGTAGGGAGCCCTATGCCAGCCCAGGTCCCACACACGCCAACTGGTAGTAGTTACCACCCGTTACCGCCTAGAATAGTCTTGTTGCCTCCTGTTGCATTAGATGAAATTGCTGTTAGCCTATGCGCTCCTAAGCCAGGTCGCAGAGGCAAACAGGCTGTGCGCCAGTCCTCCATGCCACATACACTAAGACGGTCAAGAACTCCCTGTACTCCAATTGCTGCAGTTTGTCGGAGCCTATTGCACGATGTAGATGCGTCACGCACTAATTCAGTAGCTAGTGCGGTGTCTCTAAGCAGATCAACACGCAAGCGTTAAAGGCGCCTGTTAGACAACAGGGCAGCTGATATAGGTAGTGTGCGCATTCATTGTAATGCAGACAAGCCGCGGTTAGACGGTTGGAAGCGTTGTTAAAACGTATTGTTAACTCTAACTGCGCGGAGCTTAGGGATATATTAATAGGGGCGCAGGCAGTCTCTTCTAGAATACTAAACTAACTGTGCTTATTCTTGCTGCGGTTTAGGTGCGGAGTGTTAGCAATAGCTTTGCTTATTTAAACTAGTTTCCTAGAGCGCTGTACGCTGGGGCAGACAGAGCAGCGCTTATAGGCGATCGTTGTTGTTGTTCTTGTAGCCGCCCTAGCGCATCCTCTCGTTTTGTATGAGGGGGTTCCCTGAAGGGGTCGCCTATAGTGTGGGGTGCGTGCGTTTGGGGTGTTAGGTTTTGTGCACAGTGCGGCTAGAGAAAGGGATGCAATAAACAGGCTTTGTCCTTAACTTTAAGAAAGACACCCTGTTAACTAAACATCTCTTTACAGATAGAAAGCGCGTCGCAGAAGACCTGCAGGATAGAGGAAGGCTGCTAGGCCCACGTCTTTATATTGTTATGCTGGGCAAGTGCGTCGCGGGGTGGGTCAAGCCTAGAGATGAACTTAGTGGCAGATCTAAAGCCAGCTATAGTTCTGAGTGGGGATGGTAGGTATAGAGGGAAGGTTTAGTAGAGGGTCTTAGTAAGATAGACGTTAAATTTAAAGGTAGCTAGGAGGATTTAATAGAGAAACTTAGCGCAGTCACAGGTATATATTGCGTGTCTGCGTATCTTCAGCGCATTGTGTGGAAGCCTAGGTGGGGCAACCTATAGGCAATCGTCGTTGTTGTCTTTAAAGGAGGGTATATAGGTGGCTGCAGCAGGTGTTGTTAATAATAAGGTTAGAACAAAGTATGCTAAGCACAGATATAATTCCTTAATTAGGCAGTTCTTCTAAAAATATGTGCTATATCTACGCGCTAGACCTATTAGCGCTCAGCTGCTTATATAAACGCACTATAAACACTTTCCTATACAACAAACACACCTATATTAAATTATTCCTGCGTTAAATCTGCCCTATTTAGCTAACTAAGCAAAAGGATTAAACAATACAGACTATGCATGCCCCTTAGCTAGACAGCAACAGCTATCTGAACTAATGGGCACCCCCTAGGCCATCCTGCGCAAGCGCAGGACTTTCTAGACTCCGAAGAGCTGGTTGACTGAGAGAGATAGTTCCGCGCAATATGGCCTTTGGCATATAATGCTTCGCCGTCTGCTTGGAATCTTCCCGGGACCACAAGGATGCCCCTACTATAGTGCTCCACTAAGGAATGTTCACATTGTACGACTAAGGGGACTCGTTAATAGACACTACCCAGCTGTAAAAGAGCCTAAACCTAGCCCTTAGCCTTGCAACCTCAGGCACCATTAAGAACAATCTAAATAAAAACTAAATAGACTAAGCTAGATGGCGGTTTTGCAGTAGGATTGTCTGAATTGTTTTTCCCTTAGTGCCTACTAATGAACTGGGTTTAGGAGGGACCCAGCCGAACAATTGGTAAACTAATTGTTGCAATTAGATGAACTAATTGTTATAGATGTCTTAAATGCCCTCTAATTGCCCTCTGATTGCCCTCTAATAGCCCTCTAATTGCCCTCTAATTGCCCTCTGATTGCCCACTGATACAGCATTGCCAAAGCAATGTAGCGAACGTTGCATGTGCCTAGTTGCCTAATTGCTAGTACGCACTAGCACGCATGCAGTCCCTCCTAACTAGTATGCACTAGACTTTCTAGAACTCTGTTTTGACTTCGTGCCTGCCGATTGTTGCCAATTGTTGTCTAAGGTAGCCAGGTCCAGGTCCAGGTCCAGGTCTAGGTCCAGGTCTAGGTCCAGGTCCAGCGTCTAGGTCCAGCGTCCAGGAAGGAAACAGGAACAACAAAAGGAGAGAAAGAGAAACAAGCATACAAAGCATAACAATAAGATACATAACTGTAAACAAAAAAAAAGAGAGACTTAATCTAGAACAGTTGTAGCCTAGAGTTGTATTGCAGTTAGTCTGAAAATATAAGGAGATTAGATACACTTATTAATACGCAACACTAGCAACTAAATCTAACACATGCGACTGTTTAAGGGAGGGCGGGGAGGCGATAGGCGATGGTTAGAGAGTGAATACAGTTAATTAAGGAGGGGTACGGCAAGGAGAGGTTTAAGGACACAGTTAAGCGAGAAGAGAGGGTTTAGAGGCGCGCGAAGGGATGGTTTAGTTAATTAAGAAGGGTGATGGAGAGAGGAAGAGTAGGACCATGTTACTGTAGAGTGCTTAGTACGGCCCAACGCATGGACAGAGGGGAGACTTAGCCAGTTAATAGAGGTGGACAAGCACCTGCAGGGCAAGGTGGAGGATAGAGTAACTATACAGTGTTTAGTACAGCTTAAATTAAAGAGGTAGGAGAAACTTAGCTAATTAAAGTAAAAGAGTTAGAGACAATTAAGGAGAGTTTAACTAAGGGGGAGGGGCCTATATATACCCCAGCTCTCGCCTCAGTGGCGAGAGCACCTGACTAGACTAGAGTTTCTGCCTAGCAGTGAAAGTACACGTCACAAGATTATTTAAAAGGATACAGAAGGCGCTAGCGTTTAACTAGCGCAAAAAATTATAACTTTTTAATTATTTTTTACTAATTACAACTAAAAATCGCCTGATTTAGAGGTAAAAGTAGGTAAAAATAAGTAAGATATAACGTATATAAGTAATTATAAGGCATTAGATTAACAATAAGCGGGCTAGGCAGCAGCAGTAAATAGAGGGAGGGGAGGGTCTTACTAGAGTAAATGTATGTTGCACGTGATTAATTAATTAGTGTTGCAGAGTTAAACTACGTTAAACAGCAGGTAGTAAATATAAGCAGATAGTTTATAATAATTAAGACGCGCAGCAACATAACATTACTGTAATTAGGATAGCCCTAGCTCCTTTAATTTTTAACTAAGTCTCACCCTAACGTGGTTAAGCCTTTATACAACCTTATCTACTGCTACTACGTCTCTAAATTATTTAAGTAAGATACAAGCATTTCTATAGACCTTTTAAAACTATTAAACTAATAGGCATTATTATAATTAGAGAACCTTTAGGAATAGTAAGCGCGTGAAACTGCAACAGTATGCTGGCAACTAGGTGATCTGTGGCTGGGAATTTGTCTTAATACATGCGATATGTGGATGGGCTGTGGGTTAGACAAGGGCGTACAAGCTAATACAAGGGGGCTAGAGAGCAGTCACGTACCTAACACTGCGCAGTTGTCGAAACTGGCGAGCAACTAACAGCGCACAGCGTCTGATTAGCTGCACTGAGTAAACAGTGCTTTACAACGCTGTTATACATCACAGAAGTGCTTGCTGTAAGTATATATAAAATATAAATATATAATTGCTCTATTTATCCTTAAAGGCTCTGTTAAGACCCCTATTAAAATTACTATTAATTAGATTGTTAACTAAACCCCTAGGGTTGCTATAGGTTGTGCTCTTAACTATTTCCGCAAATTCTGTCACATTAATATAACGCAACTCCTCTGCGCTAATGCTTGCTAGATTAGTTACATCTAGTGCTAGTATATAATTACTAGATATAACATTACTAATGTTAAAGTCTGCAACCTTTAACGTTAACAACTTAATACCACCAGCAATAATATCAGGGCTTATAATAGGCTAAGGGAGCCCTCAGTTAATCTGACTAGTTAAGCGCTCACAGCGCCCACAACTTAGCAGATAAATAGCAAGGGCAAATGTCTCTAGCTTAACGTTGCGCCGCGTATGCTTGTTCTTGCTCTTCTCCCTAAAGGCGCCCTCTATTAGCGCACAGAGTTGCATATAGAACTGGCAAGACAGTGTAAGATGACTAAAGGTAAAGTTTACGTTGTAAGTCCTGTTCTTAAAGTGCTGCATGTTGAGCTTATACGCGCAGTTTACAAGCTTAAGCACAATATTAACTGCTTAGAAGGTGTCCGGCTTCCTGTGTACGTTAACTAACCCAGAGGCAAGTATAGACTGCTGAAGCGTTGGAGTCGACACCCTATCTAAGACTAACCAGCGGAGGTGTAGCAGCTCAGTACTGTAGCGCTCCTGACCAGATCTAAAGAAGAATACAGCTAATAGATTAATTAAGTAACAAATAATTCTAATATCACTAAACTTAACTGCATGCTGTAGAGTAAGAAACATCTTAATCTCCTAAAGGAACTAACATGTTGTTGTCTAGTTGCCTTTAGAATTATTGCAGCCCTTTTACGCAGTAAGTGTAAAGACCTTCTTACGTATCTACTTAAGCAACTTAATGTACTGGTTAGGCAAGAGCTAACTAATGGCCTTATTATAGAGACCCCGCTAGTATTGCTAGACATCTGCTGCATGGATATCTGGCACCTGGCCTCAGAGATATCCACTGTTGCCTATCTCCTAGTAGAACAACGCAACTATTTAGGCGCCCTAGCTCAGATGTATCAGCGGCACAGCTATATAATACTTAACATTGCCCTGATTGATACCAGCACGGTTTAAGCGCATAATATCATGTAGAAGATTGCTAGAAAAGTCTGTACCTTTAGGCGTATTAAAGTGCGTACGAACAATCATGTAAGTAAGTGCCTAAAGGATATGAAAATACGCGGGCGGTCTAATCATCTAATCCCTCCTGTTGTATGGCTAGGACGCGCCGCGCTGCTCTTTCTTAAGACTGCGTATAAACTCAGCAGTTTTCTGGTCGCCCTATACTATCCACAGCCGCGTTTTAAAGCTTAGCTCTTCTAGATCTGCAGAAATATTTAACTGCTAGAGCTAAATATTATTATGCACTTTGTAGGTCTTATTAATAACGCCCTTGTTAAAGAATATTGCTTCTAGATGATTCACCTAGCTAGGTTCTTCGCACAGCAGGACTTTAACAGCTGGCATTGACGGCAACTGGTCCTCTGAGCTAACAAAGACCCCTGATACAGCAGCACTGTGGATGGCAGCTACAGCGCGCGACATATGGCACAATGTAATTTGCTTGCTTATATAGTCCTAAATCATGCCAGGCGCCATACAGATCTAATCAGGCTGCAATGCTATGCTAAGATTAAACATAGACTAGGTTAAACTATCCTTAGGGATCTATAGACATCTTATAATAAGCGCTGTCGTTAGGTTCTGCTAGATAGCTGTTGCAACGCCTACAGCGTGGTTGTAAGTCTAGTTAGTAAAGTTATAATTGTTATACATAATTATTAACTAAGGATTATGCGCAAGACCTAGCAGCCTAGCATTAGGTAAGACACAAGCTATATAACATAATATTATAACTTATAAGCTTTTTGTATAGTCTGCTATTTTATTAACCTCCTAGTTTATAATCTTATATAAGTTATAAACACCTAAGCCTAACAACGTCTCTACAACGCGCTGTTTTGTACCACTACTATGCAAATATAGACCTAGTAGGCGGGCAAGGTAGTTGCATCTCTTCCAGGCCTGGCAACGTAAGATGATAGAAGTAATTAGATACGCCTTACTATCCTGCAAACTCTTAGCCTTGCTGTAACTGCCCTAAGCACTCTGCTTATTCTATAAAAGTCCCTTAATAAACCTGCTCTAATTTAGAGCCTAATTAGCTATAATTAACCCTAACCTAGCAAAATTAACCTTATCTAGCCTAGAGGCTGTATTATACTAGTTAAAGAACTTCTGCCTAACAAGACTGTTAAGTTCTTTTATAAACGCAATAAAACTAGGGACACTAGTAGCCTTGTTATCTCCACTTAACGCTACATAAACGTTTAGCTGTTCTAGTGCTAATTAAAGAATTATCCTGCGTCTACTAGGCAGTAGGGCCTTTAACAACAGCAGGTCTTGCAAATACAACTTAACAAATTCACCTATTAGCATCCGCAGCTTATCTATTAACGCTAGGACCTACTCCAGTTTCCTTAATCTCAGGGTGTAAATAGGTGCGGACGACCAGACGCGCTAAGTAGACGCGCCTGCTACTTGTGGAGTTGCAAAGGGATAAGTTGTTAGAACTAGGGCCTAAGGCTTAGCAGCAACCACAAACAAAGGCAAGGAGGACATAGGAGGAGGTGACAATAGAGGTGATAATAGAGGAGGTAGTAGCTCATCTGCTAGAGGAAGATGAGAGGGTTGTGGACGCTGGCGCGGACGCGGGGTAGGACTAGTGGACTTATTGGCCATTTTGTACAGTAAACAACGTGCAAAACGCGTAACAATTTAATAGATAATAGCAAGAAGTTGCGTAGCTGTTAGCCTAAAGTTTAGAGATGTTTAGAGAGGAGGAAGGATGCGTAAATATTAATACAATGCATCCTTATATAAAAAGCGAGCACTGAAATTAGTTGTCTATACAATTAATTACTAAAGTCCCTCAGACGGCTGGGGAGAGAAGCTAAATCTAGCATCCTTATTGGCCAGAAAGATAGCGTGAGCGCCACCGGCGCGACTAGCATGGGTTTATGTTGACTAGCAAGGGTATCAGGGGCTCTGCCCCTGTCGGGGCTTCGCCCCTTCTCTCCCCAATCGGCTGAGCTAGCTGAGATAACGAAGGTGGAAAGGCTCGACATGTTTTAGTGACACAGCTGTCGTACGGTCAAACAACCAATAGCTCCTTACATGAGCGCAGCAATCTTTAGGGTTGTAGAGATGTGTTCCAGTTTGACCTCTGAGGGTCATGAGGAGTTTGGATCGTTCATGTTCGTGAGGAATGAGCACTAGCAGAGCCGTGATGGTGGCTATGCTTGGCAAGGCACTACACTACCTAGGATTGCATGCCGTCTTCTTGTTACCGGAAGCGATCCTTATATCTCTTCGCGCCGCCATCCATTCCAGACGATTATGGCAACCCTATAGCCGGAGCGGGTCGGCCGTCCTCCCTGCTAATGTGATCGAATATTCGATCGCTTCTTTCGAGACATGATCTTGGCAAATCTTTACGCTTAAATGTAGTTGTCCATCTTGCTACTGATCTAGAAGCTTCGCCCTTGCGCAGTCGCAAATTACCTGGCTATATACAGTATTCACGCTTACCCTCCGGCCTCTCTATTAAATAGACATATAATAATATAAAATACTTAGTCACCTGCACATAAACCATCCATAGAACCGTAAGCGATCCTCTGAGGTAACCAAATAGCTAACGTGCCCCACCAGGTTCTCACCAAAAATCATGAAAATCTCAGCACGATATCTCAACCACCGCTTAATAATAACTTCTAAAAACTCATATTTAAGCTTATGTAGAATTACAGGACTGTCTGCTAAATCTCGCAAGCTACTTGAGAGACACGTAGGAAATTATTTCCAAAGGGAGGGGTACTCTTACTCGCCGTCAGAGCTTGATACGTAGATTCTTCTTATTGGTCGCGAGTCGCACAAACGGGATGCCCGAGCCACAGCTATGCAGGTCGCAGGAGGTGGCGAGAATCCTGAAGTTTGGTCGTTTCGGTCAATAGAGGTAATTAGAATAGTCCAGAGAAAGCCCCAGCCACCCGGCCAATGATATACTTCAGCACCGAGCCGGAGCGTGTCGACTACCAGGTTTCTATTCGCTCTCATCGCCCAACTTCGATTCCAATTCCTTCTGGTCTCTTAGTCTCGACGGTTCGCCTCTGTGCGAGCAATACTACCCTTCTCGATCTGGATATTTCCCTGAACTCACACCCTTACTCATTCATGCCTGGACCACATTCCGACGCAATTCAGATCACGGCGGTCGAAAACAACCATGGCCAGCAAGCTTTGCGACCGCTGTTCTCCTCTCGGACTCAGTGTGGAGAAATTCCTGGTTAGGGACGACAGATCGTCGGGCTCTAGACATTCAGTCCGGTCGCTGCAACTGGCGAATGAGCGATATTTCCTCGGGTCGCTGGAACAAATCAGAGAGACAGTCGCAACTTGTCAGCTGTGCGCACTTGTTTCCCATGCAGTACCCGATCCGCCACCACCTCACACCAATGGTGCAGTATGTCACCTCATCTGGGAGATTGATGGCCGCACATCGGTGGACACAGAAGCCAGGGGAGAGAAGTGCACTCGCCGACTAAGAGTTTGCTGGAATCATCCAAACCTCGAGCAGTGCGAGTCTTATTTGGTCCTTGCAGCGCCAGCGAGGTACGACAACTCTGATGTCAACTACCGTGGCTTCTTGAACAACGAAACCGAGTTCCTTGGAAGGCGCCTCGGTCGCACAGAAAACAAGAGAAACTTCATCCGGGAGCTCGTGAGGCTGTGCGAGAGATATCACGGCTATCGCTGCACGAGAAAACTCGGGATTGAGGATGACTTCCATGTGACTCTGATGGAACCCTACTTCGGAGTCATCGACATTGAAAACGACAGTCTTGTCCCTTTGCCATTCAAGGAAAATGGCGACCAGCTCGAGTTCGAGTCTTACGCGACAGTGAGCTACGTCTGGGGCGAGAGTGATAGCCGCCAACACACCACGAGGATGGCAAACATCCAGAGTCGACGCAAGTCTGGTGGCTTGGCATCAGTCATCGGGACGCTAGAACAAATATAATCTGTGTTAAATAGGCTCTTTTAGCTAGCTGCTTATAGTATAAGCACTTAAGTAGCAAGAGTAAGAGTAGTGTACAG